ATGGGGAAGATATCAGTGATGTGGAGATGATGCTGATGACTGGAACTGATCTGGTAATGATTAGAACAATGTCATGGGAGTAATTATTTTGCACAGCAGCGCATAATTGCTTCATCTTCCTCATAAGTCCCTAGTGTGACAGAGAAGGGAGTTCTCAATCCATGCGAGGCCGAAGATGATCTCAAGCAATCTGACAAGAAGCTTAGGGTTCAAAGCGGACGAGAGGCGTCGCATTATTCTCAAACGGTGACCGCTATAGCTCACAGCCCACATTCTGCAGACACACGCATGAGAAATGTCTTACGGCACAGTACCTGAAGGACCGAAACACACTTATTTCACTTCAAATGACGTGGAAGGAAAGCTGACGCCAGGCATGGTTAATGTGCCATCTCTAATTAATTCTCTCAAGGGGCCGGACTTCAGAGAGCAGAAAACAACTGACCGCTTATTTCTGCCTCTGTCACCACGGCCAGGCGATCCGTTATCACCAGCAGTCCGTTCACTGGCCTTGACCATCATGAATCAGTCGGTCAGTCAGTCAGTCAGACACAATTAAGATACGGTGTCAGGACTGAGACGTGGAAACGGCTGTCTCAAATCAAATCATGTTGATTCAGTCCAAGTTAGCCGCCTTGATTTTTTTTAAAAAACGAGTTAATGCTCTACATCTGTGTAATATCTTTTCTGTTCTCACGTTAGTCTGTGTCAAAGGCTGCAACAACCTCGTCCGCGCACAAATTCACAGAATATCAGAAACGTGAGCCCCGAGTGAAGGCCAGAGATATTCTTAACGTTTGTCTGGAAGCAGGCCACTATTATTGTGCGATTATGTCGGTGATTATACGTCCAGTGATGAAAACCAGCTGGAGGTCGCACATTTGTGCGTCCCACCAGATCATCCCAAATTCCCACCAGAAACCAGAATACAAACATTAAATTTTCTGCAGAATAATACAAGAACGCATTATCTAAAACAGAGCCCAACGCAGACAGTAACCTGGGGCTGGAAAAGCCCTGGCGGTGCCTCTTCTCTGTCCTATTGTTGCTATTCTTCTTTGTGGGTGGATGACATACCGTGGATCTGACAATGGCCAGCCATTTCTAAATGGAATGAATAAGCAAAACAAACATGTTACTACTGTTTGACTCCACAGCCTGATGGCAATGCGCTGAGGGAACGGGATGCTGAAAACAGTGGATGAATGCTGAAACAGCAGGGAAATGAGACTTGGGCAATCACAGAGACTGAACTCGACATCGACTCCTCAACGCTGGCCTTTCATTGTAACGTCTTATATAACGTCTGCACTCCGACTTCTCCTGATCAGCGGGTCATGTTGTGATAAATGCATGACAACAGAGTTGTTACTACAAAATTGAAATGATTAATGACATGAATGATCTATTATAGGGAAATTCAGGGAAATGGAGTCAATCATTCCACTTTCTGTGTTTGCAGACAGCAGGATGGGGGCAGTCTGGCACTGAATAAAAACTGGAAGCACAGGGGAGGTACTCACAACAGCAAACAGCAACTGAACTGAACAATAATTCTGTTTTAGCAATTTTCGCATCATTTTTAACACAGGAGATACACTCAGACATACTGTGTGTTATGTGTTAAGGCCATTAAGGTCTGCAAAGTCACAAAGAAACAGCTAAATTGCTAATGTAAGTCTGTTTCACTGCTACGTGGGAGGGGTTGAAAGGACAAAGCCACTGCTCTACAAAAATGTTCCGTTTGATAAAGATCAAGGAGGCCAAACCAGCAGGGGAAATGTTTTGCCATTTGGAGATGTGACAGAGAAATAAACCTTTTGGTTGGAATTACAAATGTTTTGTTCACACAAAAAGACAGCATCGCAATCCAGCACACGACCCTTACACAATGTGTCAAACACGGTGGTGAAAGTATGATGATGTAGGGCTCCTTTTAGGACCAAAAGGGTCACAGAAGGATAAATGGCAGCGAATTTTCCAGAGAACTGGACGATCTGTCCATGAACTGGGGCAAGAAGGAAAAGTGACTCATGCACCAAGAAAATCAGACACGTCTAAGAATTATGAGTGCTAAATAATATCAGTGGTCTAAAAAAGCCAAACACATGTCGGGAACCTTGCTGTTACTCATATGCAGTAAAGCATCCTTTTCCCCCAATGAGTGACTGACTAAAGCTATTTTTTCCACCACTTCAATCAATCTGGTAAAGTGTCAAATGTATTCTAATTGATATGTTAGCTTGTCACAGTACCATGCAATGTTCTGCAGTTGGTCTCCCCCCATGGCACCACTGTCCCCAAAAGCAAGCCTCCATCTGACCCCCGTACATTCACAGCTACACGGGTGAAAGATGGACAGGATATCTCAATCTAGAACCTGCACACTCTGCATTTAAAAGTGCTTTTTTATGTAATCTTTCTTGACAGTTCCTTGGGTACTGTGCAAGGAACGCCCCCACATCAACAGAGACCCAGGGCTCTGAATGTTGAAATTGTAATTGTGGAAAAGTGACAAAATTGCTTCATAGTTTGTGAAGGAATTTTTGTTTGTGTTGCTGAACCTCTGTCCATCTTTGCTGCTGAGACTTTGCCTGTCAACAGGTTCCCTCAGTGCGCATTCATGTAACTGATGTGTTGCCAGTCACTCTTCTTAGTTTCCGTGCATTCCTCCTGCTGTTTCTCTTTAGCATCACATACTTTTTCTGTTTTTGTTGCCCGCGTCCTGGCTTTTCCGAGCCACGTTTCTGTCGTCAAAATCAAGATGAGCAGATATTTTTCAAAAAATGACAAAACTTTTAACTTCTAACATCTGATATCTTTTCTCTTGTGACTGAAATATTAGTTTGTGGGTCTAGATTTATATTTTGGTGTTCCAACTTGCCTTGGATTTAGGGAACACACATGTTAGCTGGTTAAGAAATATGAGGAGAAAACGGGTTGTACGACGGGTCCATAAAATCATTCTCGAGTGAACAGATCAGACTTAATTCCACATATTCCTTTCAAATTCATGAAAAACAGCGGGGAATACATCTGACGGTCAGACTTACAGCTGCATCTCATCCACTGGTGATGTTTTTGTTCTTCTTTCAGACAGTAGTGCGTGTTGTTGCCAAAGCAAAGGGAAGCAAGAGGAGTTTATGCACAACAACAAATCTGGATGCACGATTCAGGGCAAAGTGTGAACAGACCCAAAGACGATGGAAGGATCCGGGCATGAGCAGGTCAGGGGACTAACGAAGACAGAATCAGGACCTTCCATACCTCTTTGATAACAACTTTACACCTGCGGAAAGGCCGTGATTAACAAAAAATAAATGCTCTTTTCTGGAGCTTTCCAGTGGAGCATGGCAGAGGCAAACGAATGGCAATCGGAAGGGAAACTCGTATCATGGGTTAAGGGAACAGACGTCCCTTCAGGGTAGCAGCCCAGCGTTTCCCTCCCTGGCAGGCTGAGGCAGGATTAGTGTCTACAGGCGGAGCCACAGTGTTTTCTAAATGTGCCTGGCAGTCCTTCAATCTGCTCACGCCAGCTGATGTCACTTTAGATGTCGTGGTTCAAACCTTTGAAACAAGGCTGTTCCTTTATTGAAAAACCCACAGAATGATCCCTCATGGGAAATCCTGAAAATACAATCTCTCTGTAATAAATTCAAATGACAGGCTTTGCAGGATAGAATACGGCATGTTATACCAACAATAGTGCAAATAATGTCAAAAGACATTAGAAACTCTTAAACAACCATTTACTATCTGTTGTGGAAGCATTAGAAGTACCAGATATGTGGCGTTCAATGTCCCTTAAACTCAGTTCAGCTGACATTTATTCATATCAGCTATGTTGATACGACTTTGTTTTATATCTCAATATATTTCACAATATGTGTCACGCTTTACTTACGATCAGTTGTGTTAGCCTCTGGAGCGGTTTCCTGTGTCTAAACAGTGGACTTTCTTCATCGTGATCTCCGTTGAGCTCGTTTGTTCGATTTCTCTTCTAGGATTTCCTGTCCCGTCCTCTCATCCCTTTGTGCCATCGTAGGCTTCAGCCCCTCGCCCACACTTCACTTAACAACTCATCCAAACTACATCTTTCCCCACAAATCCCCTTACTGAAGCCTTTCCACCCAGCTACCAGTGACCCCGGATTTGACCTCACAGCTGGGCCTTAAAATTCTCGTACTGTGAACTGGGCTTTATTCAAAGGGGCTGCCCATATTACACATAATGGATGCCTGACTTCAAAAGGAACACTAAAATAAATGCATTTTCTTTTTGAACTGTAGTTGTAGTGTAATTAGTGGGTGTTAACCGTAACTTCTAAGTTGGAAAATAAAGCTAGATTTGGGTCTGTGTCCAGTGTGAGAGATGTTAAGACATCCTGTGCTTAAAACTGCAAGCAAATTAAGAACTCTGCCTATTCAGAGTACGAGACCTATTACCTCAAAATAAAAGCACATTCCCACTGTAAGGCCAACAATTGATCTAAAAATGTGCCAAACTAATTGTTAAACTATTTGAGTTGCTTTCATACAATCTTTTCTTTTTTTAAATCGGCACCAAATTGTGCCGCCCGACAGCCACTAGAGACACAGGAAAGCCTTGAAAAGGACAGAACACAAAACTAGCAGGATGCTGAAAAATCTGCTAAAACACTATCTGAAATCCTCATCACACCACAAAAAAGATCCTTAAAGAACTCTGTGTGGGAATACAAGAGCATCATATGTTGGAGAGCAGACCTCTGCCTGAACCCACATCTCTCTCTGCAGGCATGTTGACCAACAGCTGAGTCTGGCCGGGGTTCTGGCCTGCTGGCCCGGTCATTAGCTCCTCCGCAGCATGCTCCCAAAGCTGCTCTGCTAACGGACGCCAGATAACCCAGCCAACCCCTCCGATGCGCACATAAGGAACAAATATTCAACACCGTTCACATTGGATGGATTGTTCCTCTTTTGTCATTCCATCTCTTAAGATCACACGTCCACAAACAAGTAGGGGTTAGTCAATTCTCCCATTTTATTACAAAAAAACACCATTTCATTATCAAATGGGACAACATGGAATACAAAACTCCACTTTGATAATAGTTTCTAAGTGCTTAAATAGTGGTAAGGTCAATTTACCATAGTGACTACAACATAAACACAGTCCATGTCAGCTGGGTGAAAGGAGTTTGGAATAAATGAGATTTTGTGACAAATTTAAATGTCACTAATTTTTACGGTGCACCGTCTACACTTCGGCTGGATTATTGCTCCTGTAACAGTGTAAACAGCACTTAAAACAATTCAAACGTCACACTTCAATATCATACACAGATAACAGTACTGCATTCTGGAAGTATAAATAGGCTAACAGATTTAAGACTTTTGTCTCATGCACATCATTATTACAACTAGTAACTTCCCTATGAGTTACAGATTAACATCACAGTAATTATGGTTCTATCAAAAACATCAACGAAAAAAAAAAAACATTACACAATCATTTACATGGTAGAAAAATAAGTTATAAATCTGGATAAATATTTGCCACAAAACAGTTATGCTGAGTTACTCGACAAGTTTACAGAAACATTTTTCCTTACAACGCCGTTGGGATATTAGGTTGGTTAAAAAAAATGAAAAAACATCAAACAAAATCAAAGTTTTGAACAAACTTTTTCTTTTTCTTTTTACAGTCACATATAAAATTGAAGAGCTTTAAAAAAGGGGAAACTGCACCATAACCAGAGTCACTTCAGCCCCCCCCCCCCTTCGGCCGAGGCAGATGAAGCGGGCCCAAACACCTCCCACAAACCGGGACCGTCCCGTTAAGCGTCCGCACCACAGGTGACGTCTTACAGGCTGAGCACAGAGAAAGGACAGACACTCAGAGGCAGAGCAGGAGTTGTTCTCATTTGTTTTTCATAAGAGAGATAACAGCCACCTAATCCTGGATGTTCAGACACCGAGTCGACTTCCACAGACACATTACACTTCTGAAATCCTTTCTGCACTGAACCAGCGTCTCAGAGACACCAGATTTACTTCATCTGTAGCATTTGATCCATTTCTTAGGGGGAAAAAAAATCAATAGACAAATTTGTTAAACACACATGACTGTGTGTTAACCAGTAAAAGGTGGGATTACTGGGAGTTCTTAACACATGCTCATTTAGTGTCATTGGTAAAAATAGGACGTTAAACACTAAATTCTTATCAAGCTGTTGATAATCAGATGGTCCGAATCCTTCAGTGCATCGTGTAACGGACTTCCATTTTTGTATTTGCTGATGTGCGACTTGGTGGTGGTCTTTTAAATGAATGTGATTGGGAACCATGTAAAAGCGCCTGATTGGGAAGCAGTTCAGCTTACCTGCGCTTGAGCCGCTTTTGAGGAAGCGCTCTGAAAAGGCAAAGAAACGTTGTAAGGGGCTGGCGCAGGGCACCGTGGCACACGCTACAACATGCTTTTCAGCTGGATTTAGTCCACTTCAACGCTGTAACACTTTTGTAATAATAAAATCTCTACTTGCCAACACAGTCCATCCCATCTGCGTGAACAGGGATGCACCCACTGCCACTCTCACAAACCACCACATTTGTTTGGAAATTTTTATGCACTTGGACAACCTTGAAATAAATTGGCTGGATGCTGACGGTTATATTCAACTATGAAACCAGAGTCCAGCAGCAGGCCCCGCAGTTACTGAGCCTTCAGCTCCAATTAAAATCACTCAGCCTGTGTGCTGATGAACACACTTGTGTACCATATATCTCTGGTAAGATGACCACTCGGTTATTTTAGGCACGTTGTTCCTCTTGCAGGAGTCGTTTTCAGCCTTTTATGACATCCAGTGCCATAAAACAAACCTAGCTTTCTCATCTCACTGTGAACGTGCTCAGTTCTACAGGGCTGCACTGCCTTTAAAATCAATTTATGTGTAGACGTAGGGTGAGGGGAAAGATAAAGAAAACAGGCGGCGTTGTTAGAAACTTGTATTAAAAAAGAAAAATAATAATTTTGATAAAATCCCTAATCAGAACTCGTATCTGGTTCTCATATTTGTGAGCTGGTTATGTTTGAACAAGCAGCAAGTTCCAGAACATCCTCATGACTTTGGTCATTACTACTGTTTCAGAGAAATCAAAGCAGCCGCTGATCTATATATGGCAGCACCTAAATCTTTAAACCAGGTGATGCATTATAGAAAATTAGATTGCTCTGAAGTTGCCGTTTTTCTATGTAACTGCTGGGAGTGAGAGTTGGTGCCACCTGCTGGAGGTCCCACGAACCCACTTGCAACACAAATTCACAAGTAGTGGAGAAGAGAGATAAAAACACTTTACGTTTCACACAATTCCTCATACGGGTCATGACAGAATATTTGTTTAAAATCTCTCCGGAGCAGCACTGCGAACCCTTCATATCTGCCACCTCACCACTCACCGGTAGATGTTTGGGTCTAGTAACATGGCTGTGTCCTGCGGTAGCTGGGATAAGTGCACCACTTTGGTCCTCAGCTGAGAGCGCTCGCTTTCATTCACCCAGACGTCGGGGAGTCTGCAAGACAATGCACACAGGCACAAACGCCACATGGGGTCAGGCCACGAGGTTGAGCGGAGGGGAAGGACACCAGGGATGGATTGGGAGTTGGGAGCAGGGTGGGAAATGTGGAGTATGGCTTAGTTCACTGCACATGTTAACAGCTTCCTCTGAACACCGAGTACATTTCCATACGTAACCTGGCCTTGACCAAAACGCAAAGTCTGAGACACACACGTCAACAAACCAGCAGGCAGACACGCCCACGCACAGGACAAAAGACACTTTCCTTGTTCCTGATTGATTCAATTGCATATGCATAAGCATCTCTTCAGTGATCAAATGTAATAATAAAAAGACAAATTAATTAAAAAAACAGGTGGCTCAAAAAAATAAGCAGGCAGGTTTTCCTTTCCCACTTACACCCAGGTTTGGGTCTGGGATCTCTTCCCTTTAACAGTGGCTTCTGAGGCACTTTGCTTCTCAGTTGCTGCTCTCTGTACCCACCACAGCCGTCTTTGTGAGAGGTGGGAGTGTGCGAGCACTGCAGTGGCAAGTTGAGGTGCAGGAGAGAGAAAAAAAAAAATTAAACAAAGAGCTTAGCAAGTCGACTTTGCTTCCCCTCCTCCCTCCAGCTCCCACCTCCCTGTCTCCAACCCCAGCACTCCCCCGTCACAATGTGCGTCATCGCCGGGGCCCCCAGAGACACACACACACACATTCACACTCACACACACACACATGCAAGAGGCAGCAAGTCAAGCAGACCGTTGCCCCGTCAGGAACGCTCATTCATATGCCCCGTCTGCCAATTCAGTAGCACGGTGTGCAGGTAGGGCTTCACGTTTGCAGCAACTGAAGGTAGAGGTGAAGTGCAAATGTGAGCAAAAGCCAAAGGAAGCCGTGCAAATTTAGGGGAACAAAAGACTGAGGGAGAGTGCATCTAAAAGGCGACGCTTAAAGTGGTTGCAAATAATTTATGGCGTGTTTAAAGCTATTCAATAAACATAAGTTAAGAAGAAAAAAAAAAAAAGAGTCTTCGGTGGAATGATAAGTCAGAGCGAATGTCAACGCTAATGCTAAATTTAACATAGATCAGAAATGCTTTTTTCAGCATATGTACACCAGAAAAAAACAACCAAACAGCTAGCCAGCAAAGACACAGTACTCCTCATCCTTATACCAAAATAACATCATTGTTTAAAAAATGGTAAAAGAAAAACAACAACATGCGGGGGACACCGTAAGAACGTCAATTAACGAATGAAAAAAAAAAATAGCACAAACTATTGAAACTTGACCTGCCCTGAGTGTGGAGCAGAGACCAGAACTGATGAATGGAAGTGTGTTTATGGGATTAGGAAATAGTTTCCCTTTTAAATCCCCCCCCCACAAAAAAGTATATTTTGGCTAATTTTCTTTTCTATGTTTTGTCCAGGGTAGTTTAGTTCCACAGGAAAAACATTATAGCGTGTAATTAATATTTGCAAGAAGAACAAAGTAAGTTACAGCATCTACAGCTTAAGAAACCAAACTCCCAAACAGGGACAGACGAGTCAATCACTGAGTTTCTAAGCAGCATGCTTACTTTCCCTAATTCTATATGATCATTGTTTTTTCAGACCAGAAACAGCTTTATGAATGAAAAAATGTACAGAAAAAAATCAAATACAGCTTAGTCGTTTAGATCTTACAAATCTTCTCCTATGAACAGGGGGAGAAACAAAGGCTGAATTCCACCAAGAGGGAATTTCATTTATGACCAACAACAGGACGAAGAGATATGTTTAAGGTGGTGCAATAAAAATCACCGCTAGCTTTAAAAAATATGGCCCCAGATCATCTGAAAGCTGCTGCTTAGCTCATATGAGAGGGGGGAAATAAGGGTGAGTTACAGAGGGAATATATAAGCATAGATGACTCCTCTTAACTATTTCCACTTCAGAATAATGGTGGACAAAAAAAACACACACAAAAAAAAACAAAAAAACACGAAGTTGAGAAGAGACAGGGTCGAGACAAGAAACAGTGCCTTTCAAAGCAGCTTCACAGTTTGGGTTAGCTTTGAATTACTGTCCTTGTCAAAGGCAAACCTGAAATGACAAAGAAGGACCTGCGGAGTGTTAACTAGGCAGTAAACGCCTGTGTGTGTTTACGTGCGTGCGCTCTCGCATGTCCGCTCTGTTCCAGTCACCACAAACATGTCACAGCCAGTGTGCTGTGGTACTGATGAGTTATTACATTTTGATGCATGAGAAACACACGGGGGCTGCGGTGCACTGCTCATATCCCTCACCCACACTCATGCAAACATATTTCAAAGACCTGAGAGAAATCAGCACACATAAATGGGGGGAGAAAAAAAACAGCCATTCAGTCACACGGGCAAAAATAAAGACAAATGGATTTGTTTTATTTTCCAGGGGAGGCCGCTATTTGGCTCGCTCCTTTATGAAGCAGAAATGTATACTGTGAGTGAGGCCTCTGTGGGGAGAGCTTCTGGGGATGCCTGCCAGGCTGAAGCCCAGTCTTCCACTCTGTATTGATGGCTGGCTCTAGGCCTTGAGACTCAGTGTTGACAGGAGTAATCTGTTCATCACAAAGAGGCAGAGTGTATATGAAATAGCTAGTGTGCTCAATGGAATGGATAGCCTCAGCAGGAGTGACTAGAAGTGTTCATTGGTGTGAGTTTGCAAAACAGGCTGAAGAATAAAGAAGAAAAAAAAGAGCGTAGAACTGCTTATTTTTTTTGATGGTACGAAAGTGTCAGTGTAGGCTCCACAGAGATAAGCTGAGGCAGAAACCCCATAGCTGTAGGTAGTCTACATCCCAACTGAGGTAACCACACCAATGTAAATATTTTCAAAGGTTACTTTTATCTCCTGCTTTCAACAGTAGAATCAGAGTTAAGTAGACATTACTCATGAACAGCTTTAATGTTTCCTGCCTGTGACGTTTCAAGTCCCTCTGGTTTGCGATTCCGAATCTCTTTCTATCCCTAAATGGAAACAGAGAAAAAGACTAAACACCACATTGTAGAGTGGAAAAAAGTCTTAGGTTTTGTCCATTGGCTTGAGGTGTTTGCCGTCAGTGGCTGTGTGTGTGAGTGTTTGTTATCCTAAAGCAATCAACAGCGTGCTGCGGAATCTATTCAACCATCCATCAACAATTAGACAGCAATTATGGTTCTGCCTTTCTCCCAGGCCTCCCACTCTTCTTCTTTCTCACTGAACCACGAATGAATCGTGTTCAGAATGGCTCATGTTAATCAGTCACTTATTAATCTAAATGGAGTTAATGAGTGTCCGTCAGAGGGTGAACACTTTGCTCCAGCATTAATAGACGCGACTTCCCACATTCACACAGCTAATCATTGACATAGATACACATAAGCACACACAGACAAGGCAGCATAACAATTAATATTGACTGCAGTGTTCTGAGTTACAACACTTGATGGCTAACTAAATGACCTCTGTATTACCTGTCAGATTACACAAGGGAATGCTTCTTTCCTTAACCTTGATGGGGAATGTCATGAGGTCAAGGAGAGAGGATATTCATTTTCAAATAAAAAGAAAAACACACCAGGCAGCAATAAGAATATGAACATAATTCAACATGACTGTAAGGTGGGGTTAGGGTTCCAAAAATGAACAGGCGTTTCAAGACGGCCACATAAACTTTTAGTTAATGCAAACTTGACCATTTAAAACATTAAACAAAAACAACACAAAAATCATTTGAAATGTTTTACTGGATGCTTAAACTTATTCCCCAGAGTCCTGTTTATTTAAATCGGAGAGTGTGTGCAAAAGCAGGCGACAGTAAGCATGGTCCAGCGTATCTTATGCTGAGGTTTGGAAACCTTCATCTCAGTGTTTGCAACGCAAGCCAAAGTTGTGATGCCCTGATGTTGTGGATGTGAATGGATAACATCAAATGAAAATAAGACCATTTTTTTATGATTTAATTATAAAAAGTTTTTAAATTACAAAAAAAATGTCACAAACATAAACATAACAAGCACCAAATAATCTTTAGACAATAGATGAAATAGATGTTGGTGAAACTAGCGGTTTACTTTACACAATGTCAGTCAGAGAAAGGTCAAGCTTGTAGAAATATTAAAAGAAACCCCTTTTTTTTTACTGGAAATGAGAACCTTTTCTTCCTCTAAATGACAAATGTTGAATAGTCAGGGAATGGCCTTCACAACAGAGAGGATTCAACAGAACTCATTTTAAATGTAAACATGGTGTACAATTTGATCTCCTGGTTCAGTTTTTATGAATGAGGAGAAAACGGAGCCACCCTGGCAGTGTTAGACATCACTGCACATTTCCTCCTCCATCCCTTCCTGAGAGGACACTGCATGACTCAAAAGAGTGTTTAATAATCCTCCAATCGTTAATTCTCTCAGATTTCATTCTGAATCTCCCCGTCATTCCTCTCTCCCACAACCGTACTTGTTCCCGCTCCCTTTTCTCGCTTTGCTCCCATCTGCCTCCCCCATTCCTCATTTCATCCATTCTGCCTCCATCTCGTTTATAGCCTCCATCTTCGTATCTGAGTTGGTAATTAATCTGAGAAGTCTTTCCTGATCAACCGACTTCATCTCTCGCTTCCTTTCCTCCCTCTCCCATCATCCCCCTCTGCGGAACATTAAACTCCCACAGTGTGAAGCAGAGATAGAAAAAGGGGGCAATGGCAGCAGCATGAGATGTCTGACAGAGAGCTGAGTGGCCGGATGCTCGGTCCAGCTTCTAAAGATCTGTGGGATTTTTTCTTTTACAGTCATTTGCTTTTTTTCCTCTTTTGACTGTTCTTTTTTACCCCCTTCTGTTTTCAGCTCTACCCATTTTGTGCCACGCCATTTTCCTGCTCGTACGCCATCTTTTCTCTTCGCTCTCACTGCTCCTCTGATCATCTTCAGAGGCCATGCTGTCAAATCCTTTAACAGGAGAGTGGGAGAGCTTCCTTCAAACAGGCACCCTGCTGAGAATGACTATTCTGCCGGGGCCTCTTTATGACTCACAGATCTGCCTGCCCTTCTGCCCAACTGCCTCACTAAGCTGGGGCTTTAGCTGTTCAGTGAGCTGAACTTGTGATGGAAAAGTGTTTGGGTGAAACTTTGAATGATTAATTATTCATACTTGTGAGGCCAAGCAGATGTTAAACAGCCAGCAACAGACCAAGAGAAGGACAAAGACTGACTGAAGAATAGCCAAGTCCACTCTCCCAGTCCTAAGCAGTGCTGCTGGCATGGACACAGGTACAGTAAGAGTGGATGCCGGGGATCGCGTGGCAGCAGGAATGTGAAAAAAATGACAGTGAACAGGCAAGAAGTATCTTCTGTTCTCGAGTGTAGCCCAGTCTGTGGTACTGCTTAAACAGCTGCTTTGCTGCTCTTAGTTAATGACAAATCCTGAGGAGAGGAATAGTTGCTAATGCAGTGATTGTGGAACGGAAAAATAAACCATAAACCATGAGAGACAGATAAACTGCTGACATTCCCCGTTACATATACGAGAGATTTTGGCTCTAAAAGCAATTTTAAATTCTAACTGGACATATCTCACATTCAAATGGATTTTGGAACAAGTTCAGGTTTTATTTTTTATTTTTTTCTCTTAATATTCAATAAAAGATTTCCCTCAAAGACAAAAACAAGTATTTGGTGCAAACGTATGGTGTTGTTGGAGCTCGAAGCATTTAGGTGTTGAGGAGGAAGAAAACTTCACTTACATGTCTTCTGGTGTCCAGTGTAAGAGTAACTTCACTTTGCCAGACCCTTCTTTCCTTCTGGCTAGGACCTGTGCACAGACAGTCAAGCAAAAGCAAACCTAATAAAAAATATATATTTAAAAAATAAAGAAAAAGAAAGGAGAGAACTGACAATACACAGTGATTCTGCTGGGAGCCATCCCGACCCACGGGTGCCAAATTTGAGTCTCTGGACACGTCTTGTTGTGGATCTTGTCATCAAAAACATCAATTTAATGGAGACTGATGCCCGCCTTATAATGCCAACAGAAGCAATGTTCTATCCCACGTCCCTTTCAGTCCCATCTCTTCGTTCCCAAAATGCCCAACACACTCAAAAGTTCAAGGCTCTTCTGCTTGTGAAAATACAGTAACAGACAATCCCAGATTTCCCAAATAGTTGGCCCTTTCCATGTGTAACATTTCATCTATCATGCTGCGATGGTTTATAGTAAAAGTGGTCTGGAATTCAAAAATATTGTCAAAGGGTAAAAGAAGGGCTAGAAAAATAACCAGGAGTGTCGAAAATAGCCACAGATACACCATGCTGCGTCAACTGGCTAGCTCCCCCCCACCCCCGAATTTTTTTAGGTTAGTGAATGAGTTCACACGTGAAGGACTCCTCTTACGCATATGAAGATCTTAAAATATTTCGACTCTTGGGAATGTGGCATTCATGGAAAATGGTTTGAGGACAGGAGAAATGAGACTCCACTGAGACAACAGACACAGAGACCTAGAATCATCCTCCTTCCATTAGCAACCTTTACTTTTTAAATGCTCCTGACCAAATATGTGCTGATATTTTTTGCTCTTTCGATCCGTACTATTTATCCAATAGCCCTGAAAGATTAGGAAAATGCAACTTTGTGGTGGGTGAGAGGTGTGACAAATTTTGTTTTACTTCTGGAGACACTTTAGAGCAGCAAATGAGGACGTAAGCGTGTCCAGTTACAAACAGACGCCTTTTTTTCAGAGGAATATTTATGCTAGATTAACAGAGATTAGTTTTGTTTTTCCTGGAAAAGGGCCTTCACATTTGTCTGCTTGAAGCTTTGCAAATGGCAGCCAAGTTGGCAAAGCAATCTTGTGGCCACTTGTCTTGAATAGAGTGCACACACATTATAAAGCTTAAGGGCCTAGCGGAGAACTAATGCTAAGAGTTTACCCTTTAACAGTCTGACTGACAAAACAAAGAAAATACATTAGTGTCTTAAACGTTACAAAAGGCAACTTAGATTTGAGGAAAAAAATGTCTTTTGATTGATGAAAACATGATTTTGATTAAGAAAAAAACTATGTGTGGTGGGGGGTTTAGCTCATCCGGCAGGGCTTTTGCTATTGGACCCTAGTAGGAAAACGAATGGTGTCATTGATTAGATAATGGAAAATCAGACATATATCTTGCTTGAAAAACTTATATAAACATAAGGAAAACATTAATTGACTTTTTAAAAGGCTTCGTTTTAAATGAGCATAAGCAGATGAAAGTACAGTAAGTAGCCTTGGTACATGATGCAAATACACAGTCTGCATCCTGATTGGTTGAAAGTTACACTGAGCACAAAAGAGGCTCAAAACAACAGACCCCATTGCAAAGTTCAGAGCATTAAAAACAAAAAAAGAACAAGTTACAACTAAATGCTTTGTTACACTGCAGCGCAGCCTGGCCCTTCACCCATTATGACCACCAACAGCAGGTCCAACCTCTGAATGTTCCACAGTGTGCCTTGTACAAGTGTCTGAAGCCCTTCAGGTAAGAATCTGTACACAAACCAGCTGCTTTACTGCCCTTTTAATTAAAAATGCCCAGCTGTTGTCCTGTATCCTCAGGCTCCTGGAGTCCCAGGTGAATAATAACAAGTCAGGACACCTCTTGAAAAGGCCATGCCCATATTTGTTAAGGCTTTGGAAAAGAAGTGGACTTGTTTTAAGCTGCGCAAAGTGATTTGTGAGCAGATTTGTTTGATGATGGCACTTGGTACTTTAAGGGACAGATCCTAATCCTTTATAAAAACCTCAAGGGAGGGAAGTAAAAGAGAAGGAAAGAAAGGGAGCGGGAGTGTGCAGGGGAGTGAACGGTGGATATTAGTGTGGCTCCAAAACAAGGCAGAGAAAAGTGCAGGAGTAAAGCAGGGGGAGGGAAGGCCTACTATAACTGGGTGCCTGTCTAGAGTCAGGGGGTCAAGATGTGGATGACGCAGATTGTTGAAATAATAAAAATATCCCATCATAAACATGACTGAGTTGCTCTGACAGGTCAGCGGGCCCGCAGGCCAAACTCCACAGAACCCCTACAGCTTTGCTCCATCTCCCCAGGCCTGGGAGGGTCCACTGGTGCTTGAGGTTTGGAGCAGCACCGCAGTCATTCACCGCAACCCTCCAGAGGACAGAGAAAAGCAGAATGTATGCCCAACTGGTCAGATCCACTTCCTATTCCATGACCCTGACCCTCCTTTCCTTCTCCTCTCTGTCCAGGCCTGCGATTCTCTCCCTCCCCGGACCGGCTCTTCCTCTTCACAGGCCTTATCCGTATATGCAGTTACCTCTCTTAACCTCTTCCCATGTCTTATCTTCACTTTTTGTTGCTCTAAAGTAATTGGCTGCTGAGCAGATTAGGTTTGTGGAGATGGAGCAGAAATGGGTCGGATGGAGCAGCAGAGTAAAACTGTGAAGTAGCAAAGTGGGGCCAACACCATGATCCCTTAGCATGAGAGGAACTTGAGAAATACAACCGAATATATTTGTTGCTTAGCTGAACCAGTAGATTTGGTTTACTTTGCCCAACAGATCTGACAGATGTCCAGGTGGACTGTTTTGTCCACCATAAACTCAAAGACCTGCAGCCATTCTGCATTTTTGTTCATGAAGTGTACCATTAATGAAACGCACTGCTCCTCAACATAACTACATCACCTCACAGTGACGCAGCCAAATGACACCATTTTGGTCATTAAGCTGACTGGTAATGGTTCTGTCTTCGGATTCGGTTGAAATTAAAAGTCCAAGCGGTAGTAAAACTGCTCTGGTGAGGAGATCCATCCTCTTAATGCTTCCTGCAGCTAGATACAATGACAACTCCAAAAAGACTGTCCAAAGGTTTTAGATCTTTTCTTTGATTTTGCTGCATAACCTGCCTTTTGCCCTACATCATGGATGGTACATTATCCGGAGCACAGGCCCAGACTGCCTCTGCCCTTTCAAAAGGTCAGATAGCAGTGGTGAATATGCCATTGGCTGTGGTGGTTCTCACCACACAACTACAGAATCTCATCTAAGACCGCCAGTTAAGAAAACTGTGTAATGTTTCAACTCAAAGAAACTGTAACAAATGATCAGATTATTTGTCCAATTTGGCTGTGCATGTACACATGCACACAAACACCCTCAGAAAAAGACTTTGAAGTCAGTGCTATGTAACTGGCAATTAGGCAGCAGGCCGTCACATCTGCATCCCTTTGTTCTGTGCCGTGGCCAAAAGCAGACGGTTTTCCTTCAATCTGGACTGAAGTCAGCTCGTGTTCTCCGTTCTTAGTTGTACTTTTTGACACAACTCTCTTTTTTACAGAAGGTTTTGATACACACCAAACACACTGGTGTCCTCTCCCCTACAGTAAACAAACAGGAATATGTGATTTTTACTGGAAAACATGACACTCTCAGTCCACGATTCGCCATCTTGACAAACACTTCTGAGTGCAACTATCCTCAGCCTTGCTGTGAAGTGTCAGGACCTGCACTTTACCAAGAAGTAAAGGAGGTGCGACACCCAGTGGAGAAACTGTCATGGCAGAATAACTTATATTCCTTCTTGTTATCACTAAGGGCTTTTGTGGAAGTTTAACAGTTTTCAAAATGATGAAGACCAAGAGCTAATATATTACAAATAATGTGCAATTTACAAAAGAATCAACACACTACATAAAGAAAATAGCCCTCATTGAAATGCCACAAAGAAAATATTAGGTCAAAGTTCAACTAAAAGACAATTGCTGTAAATAGAGTCACTGCCAGGGGAATGTCTCATTTGAATGAGATAGGAGGAGGATTGTGTCAGAACAGGAATAAAGCATCGACAGCACACAGTTTGAACAAAACGGGATTTGACTGCAGATCATGACCCTCGATTCTACCCTCGATTAAGAATACAAAACAAAAAAACAACGTATACAATTATTCAATAGGGCATCCTTGGGTGGTCGCATGTGAAATGAACACTCCTCTACATTTAAGCTTCAGGCACAAAAAAAATAATAAACTCCTCTCTTCAGGAATTAGGATCATCTAAATTACTTTTTCAGCATGTTTCTACGTGCCCGTGATATAAGAGACAAAAGGCATGATGTACGTCATTAATAATGTAGAATGTAACTGGTAAAAAAAAGAAAAGAGCTGCATGCACACACACAAACACACGAAAAATTCCTTTTGTTTTTTCTGTGATTCAGAGAAAAACAGCATCAAGCCTTGGGATATATCAGCGGGTTCAATTTAAGTGCATAGAAGGAAAAAAAAAAGCTGGAGTTGCTGGGATCTAACAGCAGGTCTTTGATGCCCCCTGCTGTCTACATGAAAAAAAAGTGATCTGCTAAAAGACTAAGTGTTAAGACAGTAGTGATGACGGTTTCCTTTGAGAGCTTCTCGGATGATTTCAGGGCATAAATTGTTAGGACAAAGCTACTTTTTGGAAGAGTTCTGGATGACGGATTTTTTACTAACCTCTGATGGGGGTAAGGAATCATTTTTAATTGGCTCATTTGATTTACAGATTCTGACCGAGAAGTTCATAAAATCGTCCTTGATGATAAAAAACAAAAATTATTGCCAAAACAGATACCGTTTTTAAAGTCACAGCAAAGGAGTTCAGAGATTGAACCTGTAAATGCTTCAAATATTTGGAAATCCATAAGTCATTAATTGAATTGTGAAGGTGAACTTTTAAACTAAAGTGTTCAAATAATAAGCCATCTACGATGCAGTAGGCTGTGTTTAAAACCTACGCTGCTACATAGAAGCCCGGCTTTGCTCTGAAACCATGACGCGCAGATCTGTGGTGATGGAGCTCATGGTGTTCATGTCCGCTGCTGAGATCAGGGTTCAGTGGAGACCTAATTGTGTTTACCCAACGAGCAACTCAATCATCCATGTCATTTGTCTGGCATGTGGAAAATGTACTAAGTAGACTTTAAAGGTCACGTGTGCTGGCGTTCGGTTGTTTTGGACGTTATTCTGTTGGTGAAACTCGTACACCTTTACCCCATGAAAAGGTTCTGATTCACTACAGAGGCAAAAGGTCTCCTTTTTACCCCATCCACACACAAGGGCTAAACGAGCGGTTGGGCACGTACCGTACTGTGAAAGACGACACTGTGGCCATTGCCACCGCTTTCGATGTGGGTGGCGAGGTTAAGACAGATGGCTCTGTGGCGGATAGCATCCATGGTCTGGACATCAAAGAAGTCGTGGGGCTTTGCTAAAGGGGCACGAGGAGAGAGTTAAATCACAGGTAAACTTCAAAACAAACCAAACATGAACAGTTACAGGTCATCAATAAAGACACTGATGAATTAAACAGTGCTTGGAAATGAACTATGGTGATAACTTCAAATATTCACATATTGCAGCAAATGAGGTGAAATGTGGAAACCAATAGATGAAGAAGGAATACCAAGTGAACAGAAGTAATAAAACTTGTTTTATGAAGCTCTCAGTTCCACACAGTTAAATTCCATCATCCCATCTCAGAGCGAACCATTCAGACCTCACAAACTAGATCCTAACTTCTACATCACTACTAAATTTCTATCTGTTATCAGATAGATAAGAAGAGAAGGTGGGAAACATTTCAGAACAGCTGTGTTTGTGTGCTTTTTTGGGTACGTACGTAGGGAGCACCTGCGTTTGTTCTTGAGTTTCTTCCTCTTGTTGATTCCCGCCTTAGACGGTGAGTCCTCTTTGAGTTTGGCCTGGCTGGACATTTTAGAGGAGCCTTGTTGGCTGAAGTGACTGGGAACGTGGCGAGCCAGTCCTCCTTGGGAAGCAAAGCTGGCGTTGCAGCCGCCGACCACACACTGCGACAGAGAAGAAGTAGTGAGGGAAAGAAAAAAAGAACATAAAAAACTAAAACATTCACGTCATCACACAACTGCTGCTTCTGATGTATGAATAGAGACAAAATGCAGACGAAAACCAAATTCTTGGCTTTACCTTGAAGGGTTTGTCTCCACTGTGGGTCAACATGTGTCTCTGGAGCCAACTCTGACTTGTTGACGGTGTGTTGTACACTTTGCAGCCCTTCCAGAGACACACAAACACCTGAGAAGCATGAAAACAGACATGTAGAAAACATTTGATTTAAATCAGTTCCTGTAAAAAAAATAAAAAAATAATAACAAAAGGTACCCCCCCCCCTCCATGAATGGCAATACGAAAACATATTTTGTGAACAACTTGATTACAGCTACACTGAAATAAGGCCTCATAAAGCCAAAAAGAAACAACAATGCTGACCCCTCCTCTTTGCCCATCCACGTGAATTCCCCTGATGTGCTCAGCCAGATCTGGACTGGAGTTGAAGCACTCTGGACAGAGGTCCCAGCAGCAAGAGTAAGCCATTGTCTTGGTCCCAGAAGATCTGGCACTGCCCTGTCCATTCATCATGGCAGGGGTGGAGCGCCCACTGGACGTGCTCTCCATCTCCATCAGGGTGCTGCTGATACTGAGAGACAGCAGATGTTTGGGAAGAGAAGAGGGAAGGAATCAATGCTGCCCCAGTGATAAAACAAGGCCTTGTCTGGTTTTGCACAGCTCTGTGGAACAGGTGCAGCTGTTACTTGTTTCATTACTTTGGTACGATGCAACAACCTTTGTGGGCTGGAACAGATTTGCTATGCATGCCACATTCACTTATGGCAGCATCCATTTTTCCCTCCATTACACCCAGGCCTCAGTTTTATTAGCCTGATTGGTAAAAAAAAAAACACTTTGAAATAACAGCCCCTAAATATTTAAATCTTCACTTTGTTTGATTTAAAGTTCTCAATCATGACTGATTTAAACACCTGGTTTTTGGATAAGAATTGCGTTTCCCCATCAAGCAGGACAGGGTACAAAGTTGTCGATGGTCACCCAAAATCTGAGTGTAACCCTCATTTTTACCAGACATGTGTGGAAGATGACAATCAAAACTTTCAATTCAGCTCACAACACAATTATACTACAAATTTACCACAAGACATTTTTAGCTAGCAGCCACACACAGAACAACCTTGACGCCGACCAACCTGTCTTCAGAGTCCAAACGGCTCAGCGGTTCACCGTCCGAGGACGACACCTCCACGCTCGGCCGCCTCTTGTCATCCAGCTCCCCGCTTCCGCCGTTCTGCTTCTCTCCATCTTCACCAACAGTTGTGCTCTTTTCGCTGTCCGTTCCCGAGCACCGACTATCCTCCCCCGGCTCCTCCTTAGCCTCTTTAACTGTGTTGTCACCCGTATGCTCGCTGTTGCTGTCTCCCGGGCTTTGCTGGGTCTCTGGACTTCGCTCTGGCTCGTCGGGAGACGCGGTGGTCTCTGGGGTGTCCGTTGGAGCAACGTCCTCCGTTACCGCCTCCTTCGCGGCCTTGTCTGCTACCGTAGCGGGCTTCTCTTCGCTGGCCTCCACGTCCATCTCTTCCATTTTCGGCTCCGCGTTGCCGCTAGGTTGTTCTGCTTCTGTCTCCGTGAGGGCATTTTCTTTCTTCTCTCCGTCGCCCTCGTTTGCCTCTTCCGGAGGTACGTCGCCCCCAACATTGAGTGCGGAGGTTTCCTCTTCTGCCGTAGCGGCCATTTCCACGACCAACGTAACGGTGGACACTTTCGGTATCAAAATTTAGTGCCACCGTCAAACGCTTCACTGCAGGAGGGCGGGGTCTAACCACAATGTCTGTTCTCTGATTGGCCAAAGGCAGCACGAGGACGAGAAACACTGACGTAGGTATTTAAACTTTCCATGTGTTTCACTCATTTTTTGAGCACTACTGCTACTACTGTTACGTACAATTTTACAGGAGCAAAAGTTAAGCAGTAAAAACAAACAAACAAACAAAACATTTCTTTCAGAAGTCTGCCATGACAGTATGGTGATAAATAATAACGGGTTAGTGGGTTACGCAGTATTTTTTTGCAAATAATTAACAGGAATCTTTCTCTAGATATATCCAAATAGTTTGGAATTGATCAGGATCAGAATATGGGGAAATCTCGTTAAGATTTATAACTAAGTGTTTTTTTTTTTTAATAAAAAAAAAGTTTTAAGATTTTACAATCCTAAAATCTAAACGTTTAACACTGATCGTGCTGCTGCCACATATCGTACACTAGAGGGCGCCATCGTGTTTTCCTGTGACAGCAGGCCTGATGGAGGGAAGTTATCCCTGTGACAGACGCGCAACCTGTCCATGGCTCATCTCTCATCACAGGAATGGTACAAAAATGAACACAGAGAAAGAAGGGAACATGTCTGACAAAGGTCGCCGGCCTTTGTCAGTTTTTGCACAACGGCAGCACAGAGCACAAAACAAACAGGTTAAGAACAGAAACATTTATTTAACATGATATAAAACAGATGGGATATGAACATTTGCAAATCCATTCTGGTGCGTAACCATCAGCTGGACATATCATCCCATCCAGATGTACCATGTACATTATATACACAGTAAACGTCTGATAATTACACTTTTTACACACACACACTCTCACACATAATATTGTGGATTTGCAAAGGTTTATAATTTTATTGCTTTTTACACATGCTAATATCTTTTATTTTTAGCTGTAGGGTTCAAACCAAATTGTGATAAAATAGAATTAAGCTCTGACTTTTCCCCCCTTCTCTTAATTTAAATATATCTCTCAGCCATAAAAAAGAGGAAGAGTGACCAAAGCCAAAACATTCATAAAAGTATTGGCAACGATGTGCCACGGACTGTAGATCCCCTTCTTAAATAATCAATACCCAGAAACATGAGAAAGTACTAGGAATTTTTGTACGCAGCAGTAAAGTGGCTCCTCCTGTTATTATAATGGAGGATCTATATCTCTTATTAACTTATTCACATAGAGAAATTTCTTTACAATAAAATGGATAAATAGGACTGGTAGGATAAACAATCGATACCTGGAAATAAAAAGAACTGAGATTTTTCTTTTTAGATTGAACTGAACTGAAAGAATGCGGACACATCTTAAAACTTTGTGAACAGCTGTTGAAATATGAGAAGAAAAATGTGGCATGGCCTAAAACATTCTGACACAGTCCATTAGGCTCACAACAGACATCAGTCAGTTAGCTCTCCATATATACAGGTATATATCAGCCCATATTCCAACAAGAATCTAATAAAGCCATATAAATATAAAAAACAAACGTAAAAGCCTGGTAAAAACTGAAAACGAAGATTGAGGAAAGAGTTGCCTCCTAAAGCTAGTTAAGAAAAATGAAAAGGTCTTAGTGGCATATGAGCTTAAGATGTCACAGTGAGCATTGAGAAGTCAGAGGTCAAGCCCTGGGAGGATGAAGTAGGCAGTTTCACTCTCTGTAGTACCAAGGCCTTGTGCTGGTCTCCTGTAGGGTAGGGAGGGTCCTCAGGAGCTGCCTCACACCTACCCCGCTGATTCCTTCATGTGTAGGTCTTCACTGAAGCCAGAGCCTGTGCTGCAGGACATAGACAGCAGCTTTAAAATGATTTTCAAAATGCGTTTTTCTTTCTTTTTGGACTTCAATTCTACTTATCACTTGACATAAAAACAAATATCATGAATTCGACCAATTTAATACTAATCTAATCTTAAACAACTTTACAAAGTGGGGTCATGTTAATCTATGGCCAAGAAATAAGAGTCTACAGCTGCACAGAGTACATAAAACACCTGATTGTAACCATCATTGATACACATTTCTAATTCCACAGAAATAAGTTAAAACACAATAACAACATGAGCATGGACAAAACAGGATGATGAAGACCCTTACTGGTGATACTACACACACATGAAGTGAGAGCCATCAGTGAGTTGAGGGGGTGTGTTGGGAGACTGTGGAAGGGGTGGGGAAGAGGATGACAGGCTTTTCACTGCAACGAAATAGCAACATGTTCAACACGCAAGCACAAACAGTTACAAAAGAAATACAAACCAAAAGATTAGATGTAAGTGAATAATGAATAAATGGCCAAACAACAGAAATAAACACTGAAATCAGTTTAGCTCTGAATAATTAACTGAGAGTTATAGCAAATAAATGACTGAAGACATGCAAAACACAAGCAGTAAGAGATTCCAAGAACAGACTCCTTCCAGCTCTCAGCTCATGCACTCCCTTAAGCCCTCCCCCCGATCGTCTCCATGGTCTCTGAAGATGTTACCTGCTACCAGCTTGCTGCGTTTGGAGGCCTCTGCTGCCAACTCATAGGAGATATTAATCATCTTCTCTTTCTCCTGTACAGTAACCTCCTCTTCATTTTCCTCCTCTGGGCTTATAGCCAAACTAGGTAGGACATTCTGCATACTAGGAGAAAGATACAGCATACACAATGGTTTCTATAGGACAAACTGCAAAAATCTTCTATTTATAAAACACTGACACACTGAAGTAATACATGAACATTTTCTGTTATGACCTCTGACTTGTACAACAGAACTTTCTGTTTGATATCTGCTGGGAAACATCTCTGCTAACCTGTCCTCTCACCATTGTGAAATCTAAAGCTTCAGCCAGTGTTTCCAACTTAATATAAAGTTGTTTACCTGTTTTTAGCTATAAGGGCCTTGATGCGGTCCACTTTCTTCTGCTTATCAGCTTCCTGCTCGGGACTCAAAGCCTCTTCTGGGTCTGATTCAATGTAACGCTCAGGGATCAGCACCTTATCAGGCACAGACAGCTGAAGAAAACACAACCAGGCACAAATGAACCTGTTACTCTGCATTTTGTAGATAAAGGAAAAAAATGTTTATATTAAAACACAGAGCCAGAGTGTTCAAAATGAAGGGTGAGTGACAAACTGCAATCATTACTTATATGTTTTTTAATGAACAGAGTTGTCTATTCATGTTCTTTCAAACACAGATTTTTAAAGATGGAAAACAGTTTTTTATGACGTTTTGAAATTTTCCAGAAGGGATGTTAATATGTCACTGGATCCCTGAAAGCGTTTGGATTTATCAGAAGTGAATATGGATCTGATATCATTTGCTTCCACAGCAAATACAAAACATGGAGACAAAGTCTGTCTAACTTCGGCCTTTTAAATGTCGACATACTAGTTACTCGCCGAATATGAAACAGAACAGATGCCTAATTTGGATGAGACTTAATTGAGCTCCTGTCTGTGTTTGCTGTTCAGGAGAACGAACAGATTTACTCTGTTTTCTTTGACTAAATTACTCAGTCTGTGCTGTGAGCTGGCAGCAGCTGACACAGGAGGCCTTCAGTAAAACTGCACAATGATCTGAGGGCCGAGGTGTTATCACAAAGCCCAGAAAATAACTTTGAATTGAAATATGGCATCAAATTAAAGACAATTTGTTGTCCACTCTGATAAAATATAAGAATCAACTGCGTTTTGTTGCGGAATACGGTCACATCGGGGAATGTAGAGAGTTAAGAGGGTATGCTGACAAGAAAGACGTCAACTGCCAAGGCGTACCTCTCGGTCCAAATTAAAATGATCAGCCTGTGAGGATTCTTTGAGGCGGGCAATCTCCTCAGCGGGAGTCTCCTGGTCCCTCACCACCTCCTGCTGCCGGAGAGAGGCCTCCAACTCCAAAATGTCACTGCTCATCACCTCATCTCTACGTCTTATTTGCGACTTAAAACACAAAAACAGACAGATCAAAAACAAAATAGTAATTCTAGAATTCAGTTAGAACGTGTTCTGAATCAGGAGCTAATTAAGTGTGTCTTTTTCCAAATACCTGCATGCCACGTAAATGATTTTCTTTGGAAAATGATTGACTTCGAGAGGGTGTGTTCTCTTGGCTGCCACCCCTGACACTGAGTCCTTTTTTCCTCCCTCTGAGGGCACCCTGCTGGTGGCGACGGATCCTCTCCAGCTGCTCCTCCACGCTCATCCTGGGCCGGCTGCCCTCGGCCGAACACAGCTGCTGCTCCACTGCACTGCGTGGACGCTCCTAGCCAAAGAGGGAGGGACAGAACACCTTTATTTGACTTATGTCCTCCAAAGCCATCTCATAATATCAACGCTAAAGGAAAATATAATAAAAAATAGTATATTTAGTCCATGGTCAGTAGGAGGGTGGAGCAGTGTTGTGTGTTGGTCTGGCTGAGTCGGGCTGAAATTTGACCAAACAGAACATTCTCTAGCAAAAGTGAACATATTGAAATAGCATTTTGCTTTTTAGTTTTACTTCACTACTTGATTGCTAAATGGCTCATTCACATTCCCTCTCTTTGTACTAAGCAGAGCAGAAGTCCAAACACACTGACTGCTGTTCGCTCACATGCGCCTGGTGGGACACATGGGTGCACTAAGAGGGGCTGGGGGCATTATAAGGCCTTCACGGAGGAGGGCTGAGAGGCTGGCTGTGTCAAAGCGCTCATTGTCAGGCGGGTGCCATGCTGTAGGACTGGCAGATGTGCAGAGCCCAAAGATGTAGTCCTCACTGTCCGTTCTGTTCAATATTAAAAATCCAAGGACCTCAGCTGAACCCTACAGGCCTATAACACACACTGATTGTCTATACAGTCGAAAAGGACAGCCAAGTGTGTACACGGTTGAATTTATATAACATATTCATGTCCTCTCAAATGGAAACTCTTGCAAACACATGAAAGCAGGGGACACACCCTGCAGAGCGGTGCACTAATGACATGGTTAGTTATGACATAAGATGATAGTCTCGGCTGGAAACTGCATAAACCAAGCTTAGCATCTATTTTATAAAAGCCTGTTTGAGAGCATGAGTCACATTACGGTCATCAGACAACTGGCCTCTTCTTCAACTGGAAGCAGTTTGGGGCTGGGATCAAATACAGTTTTAGGAAATAAAGTTGTGGGCAGGGCTGACCACAGGAGTTTCACCATTACACCAGAATGAGAAAGGAACGTGAAAAAGCATCTTCTTCTTAGTAGGTTCAAATTTAGTGTAAAAACATGCAACAAGATAGTAATTGAGAATTCAGCAACTCACCGTCCTGGGGTCAGGTTTTTTGCTCTTCCTTAATGTAACATAGGATGCTATGGAGGAAGACTCCGGCACTGGTGATTTAGTTCTCGGCGGAACTATGCCAACCGGGTAAGACCCGCCTAAGCAGCACAAGGGACCACAGATCACAGAGAGGTTTACTTTAAACAGGGTGGAGAAGTTAAAACAGAAAACTCTTAATACTTATCCAGAAATAAAACATCTTAACAAAAAAGTCTGTCCCTGCTCTGCAGAGCAGAAAGAACTAAACGCTTTTCCTTTGTGACATTTACAACATGTCTATTTATAGAAGATTTGTGTAGCATTGCGAAGTCCAAATGAGACCCAGTAAAAATGAAAATCAAACCCATCAAAGGATTTGAGCAGTACTATGACTCCTTCAATATGCAGCATAAATTAAAGCTTTGCAAATGTAAGTGTAATTTCCACTGTATCCATGGTGACAGTAACAACCACTGGAGCTGTGAGTGTTCCTCTGTGATACACTAAACTAGACTATGTCCTATGAGAAAAAGCCTGACCCACCAAAAGTGATGCCAATCTCCTGAAAATGCCATTGCAACCATGGAAACGGGAATTTGTGTTTGAGATAAGGGATTTCTCCAACACAGGACTCCTCGATATATATACATCTGCATGGACAGTGTTATTTGAAAACAATCGTCCACTTTTGAAGTTGCCACTGTGGGATTTCACAGCACAAAATTATGACAAGTGTTGGTAATTTTCTGCTTACTACCGTGTCAACTGTGTCAACCCCCACTTTACAAATAATGCTCGATGGGAAAACAAGTGGGAGATTTGGTCAACAGCAGCATTTCAAAGGTTGTTCAGATCAAGCTGGCCCATCATCAGGGATAGTGACTACACGCAACTTGCAACGCACCTTTGTTTCCAGCGTGTTCTCGATCAGATGGGTTTTCAGACCTGTCCTCTCCATTGCTCTCATCTACCTCAGTCACAGTGGTGAGCTCTGGTTCACTCTTATACAGCCTGTAGTCAGGTCCCTGCAGAAGAGAAGGAGGTAAACACACATGAATAACAGCTATATTGGCATTATACATGGTGATCGGAAGGACTATATATATGATGTATATATCTGTTTTCATGGAAATGTATGCATGTTTAGTGCAACCAAAAGTAAGCAGCAAGCAGACAAATCCAAACTCATAAGCAAATGTGAACAGAACACCAACAAAAGTTAAATCTCCTCTCTAAAGACACAGAAAAGAAGAATAAGGTCAATTCGTAAAAAGTAGAACAGAAAGTACATATGGAAGGCATCAGTCACATAACAGAAAAAAAGTAATTAAAACGAAAAAAAGAAAACACGAGGCATGGAGATGTGAAATAAAATGGATGGGATCCAAACAAATAGAATCCAAACACGTCACGGTGGGTTATGACATGTGATGACACAGCTGAAGGCAGGATCAACCGTGGGGTCAACAGGCTGACAAGCTTACGCTGTGCGTGCCATTCCTGTGATTGGTCTTCCTGTCCTCTGGCCTGGGGAGTGAAGAGGAGCGCACACCAGCATGAGAGGGCGGAGGGGGCACGGTGGGGGGGTTGGGCTCGTAGGACTGAGGTAAGGGTGGTCGTGGGGGTACCGAGTCCTCCTCCTGGGGATTATACAGGGCAGGAAGCATTGTGACACATGGCAGGACCATGCAGGATCAGGGCAGCGGCCATCTGGTGCGACGCAGTGCTGGCCCACAGGATGGACTGACCAGCTGATTAGCCAGAGAGCTCTCCATATGCTGGTACCGCTTTGGATGTAGACATTCCTCCACGTGCCCCCACTCAAAATGGCCTTGGGGCAGATCTGGCTGTACAAGTGCTGGGCTAAGTTCAGCATCACCCGCACAACTGCAGATGTGTGACCAAGGATGACCTTTTCTGTTGTCAGTTTCACATGTCAGAGATTTTTCAACTCTGTGTTAGAAAATTGTGATGAAATACCAAAGACCTCATATCTCTAAATATATGAAAAACAGGAACAAACATCAGATCTTTTGAAATCCCATGCAGATAGGAAAGGAAATGGACAGATCCAAGCATCAGAGAAGGTGGACCCTGAAAATGATCTTTGGTTTCCGCTGATAAACGACTTCGCCAGTAAAATGTAATGTTCAGAGAAAAAATAAAACCTGTGTTGTATAAAATTACAGTTGGACTCCCCTCCCCTATCTCTGTTTGTGGCACCTCACCTCATTTTTGTGCTTGCTGAAGTTGACCTTGGGTCCACCGTGGCCCGTCCCATCGACAGCCTCTCGCTGGGCTTTGTGTTTATTGAGGGCCTCCATCACATCTTGTATCCTCCACAGTTCTTTCTGGATGCGGACGTGCTGCTGGCTGGGGGGCTCCGTCTGAGTGTACACAGAGAAATGAAAGCGATTTTAGAAAATGACTGTTTCAATAAAATGCAAAACAAGGAACAGAAAAAGATGAAGATGAAGAAAATAGAGCTTTTTTAACTTATGCTAAGGTGCAGTCACGGCACACAATGATCTGTTTATCTATCCTCAGTAAATAGGAAACATGAACCTTAAGGTTGGACTGGAAAACCAAGGAATGGAAAGAAAATGTGATGAGCAAAAAATACAGCCTTGTAATGATCTCCTTGTTGTTGATGATGGCTTTGTGAGAAGCAGAGGAAGCCCAGATTCCATGCTGACTTCTCTGCTCTAAATGAATATTAATTCAGACTGGGGCTCAACCAGGAATAACTCTTGGAAGAGTTTGCCTCAGCCTTTACACATCTCCCACGTTGAAGGACAAGATAAAAGACAGACCTAATTAAGACCTGCACTTTAATCACTTCAGTCATCAATCACTCAGTATGCTGCTTTGATCTCCCATTTAACTCTCTACAAGCAGCTTAGGTCCCTGGAGCAGAAATCCTAACTTAACTGCCCAAAGTCAAAAACTGTCTACAAAAAGGTTTACGGGGTGCTGAGTTTCACTGGAGCTCTGCAGAATATGCTACTGCATCTGCCCCATATAAAGGGAAGGTTATGCCGTCCCTCTGTTTAAACTTGACACACAGAAGTTTAGCTAAACTGCGGCGACACATCTTCATGTGAGCGTGATCATACCTGTGGGCTTCCCAGTGCTTCAAGCTGCTCCAGCAAATTGTTCTTGGCTAAAGTCACGTCTCCCTCCAGCCTTTCAAATTCCCTCCATGATCGTTCCAACTCCTGGTTTTGGGCAAGGAATAAATCATTTGTCAGTGGCTGTGGCAACAAGTGGAGACCAAAGCAGTGCCTCGGGTGAGTGCTTACGGTGGTGACTCTGGAAAGCTCTCTGCAGGTGCTGAGGAGGCCGCTCTGCAGCAAGTCTCTCTGCTGGACGATGCTCTGCATGGCTGCTGGGTTCTCAGAGCCCAGCTCTATCTCCTGACTGGCCGACAGAAGTGCTGTCTCCAGGGTGTGCTGAAAGAACACAACAACTTAAATACACATAGGGCACAACAGCTTAGTTTGTCACAATAACCTCAGTGATCAGCGTAGGCCCATGATGGATGATCTAAGACTGTGGAGAAACTTCTGCAACTGTTGTTGCCTGGCACTGTGTCTTTTTTAACTGCTCTTATAGCGCATTCCATTTGAAGTCAAAAGTCAGAGAGCCTGATTTCCCTGTTGGAAAGTAAACTGAATCGGCCCCTGAAGTTGGCTCAGTAAGATTAAGAAACTCTGTCAAACCAGAGACGCACAAGAGAAGTGCAGACAGTTGCAAGTGTTAACATTTTATCACGTTCTAAGTGTCTGGGTTGCCAACAACAATACAGCAGGGACTAAGGATGGGCCAGAATTGAGTATGGTGTGCTTCTGTTTCTGCTATTTACTGTATTTCCTGTGTGGAACAACACACTCTGCCACCTGCAGAGAGTCCAATGTGAGAGCTTAACCCAGATAAGACTGTTCATTTAATGACAGTTATTATTTTTATGGTTTAAATATCCCAACATACAAAAGAGATTTTAGTTGCTTGGTTTGTTTCTTGTTCTTTCAAACAACATTTGGGTACATTCACAGATTCGGAAAGTGTGCAGTGACTTGTCACCTTTTCTCTGTAGAGCTGCTGAAGTTTCTCGTCCTGCGCTCTCACCATTTTATCCTGCTCACACAACCGGCTGAGCTTTGTCTGAGGACAAAACCAATCGAGAATTTGTCAGTCCTGTCTTAGAGGCAGGCAGAGCCCAGTGTCAAGAAAAAGAGTGCAAAGCTGAGCTCACATCAGTGTCGGCTTCTTCTGTCATATAGGCTTGCTCCCTGTAGTCTTCCGGACTCAGCTGTGAACACAGACAGAGCATTACACACAGGCACCACATCTCCACATACTCGTGAAAAAGTGGAGATCTAATGCAGTGTCATTACAGGCTCTCTCACCGAGCAGTGGGATTTCTACCTGAATATGAAGCCATATTTCACTTTATCAGACAATCTACATTCCCGGACCAGCAGTGAAAAAGTAGCCAGTCTAGACACAATCTTATTGCTGATGGTTCCTGTGACTCACACAGTCTTTTGTTTCCACCAGTGCGACACGTTTGTTTTATTGGGGTTGCAAAACTATAGAATGTAAAATGATCTTGGTACCTATATTCAAGAGGTGGTGCGTATGCTGCTTCCCACCGATTCAGCTATTCTGCAAATGCCATGAGTGCGTGTCTGGTTCTCCACAAACAGAAAAAAATAATATCATTTGAAACCTTTTCAGAAATACCAACATGGTCACAGGTTTCCTCTGGAATTGTCGTAAGATTTAGGACAAACATAGTCATGTGTTGAGCTACTTTATCCACACAAAAAGTGTGCCAAAGTTCAAACTATTGAATATTTCTGTGGTTTTAAAACCTAAAAGAACTCATAATTCTCTCCACTTCTACTGATTATCTGTCAGGCGGGGGTGAAACTTCCGCTGCATTGGATCCCGTGTTTCCAGAAATGTCACACACTCCCTCACTCACTCATCCACATGACAGCAGACAATCATAAGGACAGTGGCTTATTTCTGCTTTTCGTTTGTACTCACACTGGATATGAAAAGTCAGTGACCATGAGGTCAAGGTGCCAACTTCCCTTTTAAACAGTTTTACTATCAGTTGCGGTCACTGGTAAAAGAACCACGCCACATATGAAATAACACGTCTGAGTGGCATTAAAAACCTTAAAGGAGTATCTTTAGGATTAAAAAAGCGGCCGTCAGAGCTGAGCTTGGCACTTTAACCTCACAGATGTAATTTGATTTGAAATCCACTCTCTCCTGAAATAACAAAGTGAAACAACGACTCACTGCCCACACACTTTTAGACTTAAAGGCTGCATTCCACTCTCACACCTGCACTCTGTCACGCACGCTTCTCGACACCCTTTTGCTCAGTTGAACCACTTGGTACAATTAAAGCAGCAAGAACCACATGGCATTCCACACAGAACATGCAGACTCTCCCACAGCTTTGGGGAGCTTCCATGTGGTGTTGTGTGGACTACATGTGACATGAGAAGGAGGAGGAGGAGGAGGGAGACAGACTTCTGGCAGCTGAAGAAGTGGGAATGCAGCTGAAGAGGAGCCGGTATGCCAATGAAGGGGTGAAAGGGTGATTGTGGGTGAGGGCAGTCTTCGGCGGCACTTTGACCCCTCTCTACTTTCCATCAGCGGAATGACAAGAGGGAAGCGGGAGGGAATGCAGTCAGGTAAAGAGGAAGAGTGGGTGCACCCACAGAGCACCCGATTTCATCCTCATCAGTATGACTGCATGCAACTGCATGTCACGTCTTAGCCCTCTGAAACTTAGATCTGATCAGTGTTTGCTTAACTTGCATAGAATGCGTATAAAATAAAAAAAGATTCTGCTCTAAATGGGGCATTGCGTTGGCCTAGATGCTTTGTCTTTTTGAATAAGCTGGGGTATTCACACATCCTTGGTGCTAAAAAGAAGGGAAGAGTGACTGGAGTTTTTACAATATCATTACATAATGTCCTGTTGATTCTAACTCAAAAGATATCAACAAACTTCACCCTCTACAGAGCTGAGCAACATTAATCAGGATTGCGATGCCAAATTCAGTTGGCTCAGCTAATGAGAAGGCTTTTTTCACAAGGTTATTTAAAAATCCCACCACACATACACAAACCTAACGAGTGAGGCCTCTCTGCCTCGCTACCATAAGTAATGGATGCAGCTACAGCTTTATCCTTTTAGTGAACCGCAATGTCTTCTTTAACAAACAGCAGTTTCAAAAGTCACCATTTTCACCCGAAGAGTGCAATGAAAGGGAATTTAACAGGAGAGTGTACATACATCATAATACCCAAGTCATGTCCATATGAACATGACTTCTCACACTAAGAAGAGAACAGTCAAAAGCAATGGATGGGGAGGGGCTGGCATAACAAACGATACAGGGAGACCGGTCTCAAGATGCTGTGACCACTTGGACACCAAAAGAGGAGAAGTGCAAAACAGAGACCAAGGAGGACGACAGCGACTGGTGAGGATGAGGCGGAGCAAAGCCTTAGGCTGGCCTTACTTGCTTGTAAAGTTGAGGCCTCGGGGCAGAGTTCTCAATCAAAGTGTGAGTCATGACGATTAAAGGGTCATTTTCCTTCATCTAGTCCAGTGTGGAGAGGAGCGATACAGCAAGTCACAGAAAGTTTACAGCAGGGCTTCATTCTGAGACAACGTGGTTACTCCTCGCTCAGTCGATCTACTGGCAGAGCCTCAGACACAAACACGTGTATCCAGAGAGGACAGGGGTGGGTGCAGCTCCAAAAAGCAATAAGTGATACTCACAAACAGGATCGGGAACAGACTGCAGTGCAAAGCACTAAGAGGCTTATTTCTTAGCTCCCTTTAAACCTCAATTCATCATAATGATGGAAACATAGCCAGCATTAATGCTGCCCTGCATAGTATGGCAGGAGAAAATAATAGTATATCAACAACTATTTCTCTAAGCTAGCACAAACATGAGGCTCACTTAGCTATGATAATGGTTCAAAATGATTTTGTGTTCCTTTGTTTACCATAAAACCCTTCATGTAACCCACCATTTACTTCAGAGCAATAAACATGTGAAAAGATTAAGTGTTAGATCTCCTGATACAGAAAATAATAGAGGTAATCAGTATGATCACTTATTTGACGAATAAGGCTGACAGCAACTCCAGTCTGTTTATTAGTGAATGAATCATCTGGCACATTTAGGGAAAGATCAGTCAAACAAGGGCTGCACAACCTATAAATGAAGCAAATAGAATTAAATAGCATGCTTTATGTCTTGTATTTACTGCACACACAAGGCAGCCAGAACAGATTGATAACACAAATTTTCATTTTAAAAAAAGGGGGAAAGGTTTATCAAATAAAATTCAACTACAGTACCCTTCCTCCTTTGGACAGCAACAGTTAAATAATAATTACATAGGTTTCATATTTTCAGGTCAAATTTCAGTTTTTCTGGCGCATTTTGAACCTTTCGTGACTGATTTCTATATCCAAGAATTACAGCTTAACAAAGAGAAGCTGTTTTCAGTTGAGGGGAAAAAATGCCCCTAAACATACATATAAAATAAAACGTTGTTTCGTTTTATGTGGAGCCCCTGTCTTTTTTTGTTGTGCAGCCCTGTTAGAAATCAGCTTGGTATCTCAGTACAGATGCATGTGTTTTTGTCTCATGCGATTATAGCTCTTCAGCATATAAAAGACTAAATGCATTTAAAAATGTTAGCTAGCCATTAGGTTTGAAATTAGTAAAACTGCTGACGATACTGATAAACACAGGAAAAGCGAATCACTAAATGAGTTATGTTTACGGCTGACGGAGGGCATGCACTCATGCATTACCACACCTGATTGTCCAAATACATGAGGTTCCTTTGGAGGTGATGAGAAAGAATGTCGTTCTAGCGTCAGCAGCAAAGGAAGGAGAAGAGAAGTCAACAGGAGAGAGAGAGAGAACTGAGGTCCTTTTGTGAATCTCTTACTTACAAATGACAAAAGCATGTCATGTGCCCAAATATAACCCAGAGAAAAAAGGAAGCAGGACAAGTCAAGGTGGAGAAAACAGGTCAGGTATCAGGTGTAGGCAACAGAAGGCAACAGAATGAGTGTACAACAGTAAGGAGTACAGCTCCATTAGACAAAATGGCAACATGCAGAGTTGACAAAGCGCAGGCGACACTCAAAGAAAATAGTATGCTGGTGTTATGGCCTTTATCAAACTATCACTGAATAGTATGAGACCACACAAACTACTTTCCATTTGTAAAGTATACATGGATCTACTAAAAAGTGGAGACTTTATTACTCACGGTCAAATTTGCAGTTAAAAAAATCCTGAATTTACATTTTCACATATGCCACTGGTCTCACTCAGTTCCTGCTCAAGCTCTCCGATGGCTGTAACTCTCATTTCTGGATTGCATCTGTCTCCACTCTTTTCTGGGACAACATGATTTAATGAACTGCTTACTCTGCTAAAATGGCTCAGATGTAATAACCAGATGAAGTGAAAAAGATCACAAATTGGTTGTAAAATAACACTTTTTGCAACAAGCAAAAAGTTTTATTTTTGCTTTAAAGCATTTTCGAGAGAGCTGAAAATGAATCAGTTTGTACCAAAGACAAATGAAAACACAGCTTCGAAGCCAGCAGCATGTTTGTCCTTAAATCATCCATGCATGAAGCCCAACCAAATCCTCCAGATCGAGATGGATGATGGGAGTGAGTAAAGATGGCACACGCACCGCACGCTAACAGACACGCTAGCAGAGACGTGTCCTGAGGCCTGACCTTTGGGTTGTTGCCATCCATGTTTAGTTGCATAAGCTGTGCTACAGTATGCTCCCGGATACTGTTTAGCTCTGCCTGCTGCCGCCGCAGCTTTATCAGCAGCAAAGTCAGCTCCTCAGGCTGCGGGGCGGAGGAGGAAGGGGGGTACACAGCCACCACGGAATGGGGACACCCCGCAAGAGGGGCGGGAAAGGAAAGGAGAGATCACACCAGGATAGGAGATTAAGAGGCATCAGATTCCAAATAGGTGAGAGTATCCTGGTGCTGGGTTTTCATGCAGTTCAGGACAAAAGAATCATCCAGTATGCATTTTTCAGAATCCAGGTCACACTTGACCAGCTTCATCGGGACGTAACTGCGTGCAGCACAGACATAAATTCCTAATCTGGTTTACAGAGTTTAGAATGATGGTCGCCTCTGATGTGGAGCATTCTACCATTCTTACCACAGCTATGTTCAGCCAAAATATAACTAAAAGTCCTGTGATGATGGACAGGGACCCTACAGTGTAAAAGAGGTATCCAAACCTGGACAGAAAGATATGATTAGAGCAAACAAGAGTTGGACTTACAGTTTTGCCCTGGAGAGACTGGGCAGTGATAGTCTGGATCGGGATGCCTGCAGGCATGGACCTCCTATCAGGTGTGTAGGCATACTGCGGGACAGAGTAAGAGTATAAGTAACAGATCGGTCCATAACATACATGCTTACCAGGAACTGAAACATTTTTATAGTGTGGTAACTGCAGTAGTGGATGATGAAGCCACTCAGTCTGATGCAGCAGGTGGAAATGAATTGGAAACACTTTTACTGAGACACAGGGTTTGTCTGAACTGAGACCCTTTGTGACCACCGCAGTCTGAGAACAGGACATGTATTTTTCAGGCGGGCCTTCGCTGACCTTGTTTATCTGTGGCCTCTGCCGTCTGTCGATGCTCATGTCTCGTCTGTAGACGGGAGAGGAAACCTCTGAGTGGGCGTTGGCCATGTTGTAAGAGCGCATGGGGGAGTAGCCGCCGTACATGGACAGGGAGCCGTGGGAAGGCGAGGGGGGGATGGAGTGGCTTGGCACAGCGTGCTCCGACAAGTTGATCATGGTTTTGGGACTGGCCATATTGCTGTAGAGCCCCGGCTGCCTGCAGTAGGCCTGTCGCTGCTGCCACTCGTACAACTGCCACATGGTGTCGTCCCGCATGGAGCGACGCTTCTCGTTCACCGATGGACCCAGGGCCTGGTCGTACAGCGACGGCGACATGCTGCAGATGCTGTCCCGCTGTGCCATGCTATTCCTGGGCATACTGCGGTAGCCATCCCCATAATGAGGCATGTAGGGCATCCGGTGGCTCGGCATATTTCTAGGCAGCGTCTGGTACGAGGTGATGCTGGGGAAGAAGAAAAATAGAACTTGTTAGGACAGAGGTTTTTTATGGTTAATAGAAAGCTGGATTGTTTATTTTATTATTATCTTTTTTTTAAGAAGTCTGTTTTTTTTTCTTGTAACAGGCATGCCGTGCTATGAACCAGTGAGTGTTTTATTTGCCTCTTTAACTCTGTCACACTCCATATGAACTGTGGAGAATGTTTTGTATGTGTGACCATTTATCATTTCACGTGTTTGTGTTTGCATCTTAGGGGAGCTGAGTACAGTAGGACCCCTCCACAGACAAATTAGAATTTCCCAGTGACAGCAAGGATTTGAAAAGCACTACTTCCACTGAGGGTTCAAAGTCAGAGCAGTTGGCATGGAGAGAGCCTCATATTAAGGCTCCCTGACAGATCCGAGCTAGAAAGCTCACTGGTGTGTAAAAACCCAAACAGCAGCACTAAAAAAAAGAAAGGAAAAAAAGGCATGTGACTGCATGGAAACTAAACATCAGTGTGGAGGATGTGCATGTGAAGACAAACAGAAACTGTTGAGAGAGATGTACGGAGACATAATGAAGGATGTACATGCTTATCAAATTGGAGCACTAAGTAAATAAGTCCCGTGGCCTTTTGGGGTTTTATCCACGATCCTCTTTTTAAATTGATGCCTTGCTTCAATCGGGTGTGTTTGCTTACTTCTTAAAATAAACTTAATCTTGGAATGAGTGGGAGAAAAGATGCACTGCTGTGTCAATTAAAGCAAAAGTCTGGCAGGAGATAAACGGATGGGCAAATAAACAGACGAGGACACAGACGTGCTGACGGCCGAGCAGTCAGACACAGTAAAACTTTCTTCTGAACCAATTAAAAAGGGCACTCTCAGAGCGGGGCCTGGGAGAGGCTGTGACTCGGGCTAACAGGGCTTGCGATTGTTTATCTGTACTCCTAACTGGTACACTGTACTCCACTGTCAAAGTGTTTACTTTGTGATTAAAGCGTGTAACTTCTCATCCTTTAAACAGTACATCTTCAGAAAGAAAAGGGGTAAAATGAGTCTTCATTTGAAACCTGTTAAGCTATGATACGCAAAAAGACACTTTTTGGCATGGCCTGTTTCCCATCTATCATTTCAAGTTATTCATTTAGTTATTCAAAAACTAATAACATGAGAAAAACCAACCTCCTGGTATCATCATCCTGGCCTCGTCCTCTCTGCGTGCGGACCCACTGCTCCAGCTGCTGCATGGAGCTGGTCCGGCTCAGGCTGCGGTCCGGCTCATGGGAGGGACTCTGCTGGGCAGGGGCCCCGGTCTGTTCGGCTGGCCCCGGCTCCCCCGATCCGTTCACTTGGGGGCTATGATGCGGCCTTTCAGGCTCATTCTGAGGCTGCGACAAGGTCACGTTCGCCTTGATGGTTGCTGCTTGGGCTGGCTGCAGTTTAATACTGTTGATCTTGGTGAGTGGCCGTTCACGCTCCACCCCGTCCTGCTGGAAACCATAGCGCTCGGCATCGCGCTGCTTCCTTTCATCTTCTTCTGTGGTGTTGTTGACCGCCACATTGTGCAGCCTGTCTGCTTCACGGTTGCGTTCATTGTTCTGAATTTCAGGCTGCGTGAGGGGCAGCTTGTGGTTGGCAACATGGTTGGTCTCCTGTGGTCCACACTGCTCTACTTTTATCCTGTCCAACCTGAAAAAGACAAGACAACAGCCTATGAAGAAAAACAGGAACACTCTCATGGACTTTGTGTGGCTAAAAATGACATAAGGATACATAAGGATCCCCGTCTTAGAGATGGAAACATCTACATTGGATTAAACTGGCAGTATTAATCATTCCTGTATGTAAAACCTATTTCAAACATTATGTTAAGCATGCATGAGTAAAGATCTGTAGACCTAATACACTACCTTTATAAATCATCCTAATAGAGGAAGAAAAAGCAAAAGCAAAAGTGCAAAGGCGATGAGAGAAGTTCACAGTATCACTTCCAGCTGCCAGAAAAGGCCAAGCGTGCAAAAGGAAATCAGATCTCTCCAATAAAACTGCCTCCTCTGAGGCTTGTCTCAAAAGGTGGTGCCCAGGCCCCATATCCATTTGTGCTTGCCTGTGGCCTGCCTTCCAGAAGACCCATCTACCCTTCTATTGTCCCTGGGGAGTTATGGAGAGGTAATAGGCACCACCACTCCTTGGTCTCAGACAGACCCAAGGTCGCAACTTCAAAAAGTCTCAGATCCCCCTCAGTGGCATGGCTCACTCGGTTAGCGACATGAGGGCAGCAGGAAAAGGCATTCCTTCAGACTTTCCACTTCTTAACTTTTAAATAGCCGCTCTCGTCACGTAATGTTTTCTCCAGCTTTCCTGTGACTCGGCTAACCCCACAGAGCACCCATGTGGCCTGGTGGAAGGTCTGTGCTCATTTAGTTCCACTTGTTCTGGTGGGACCGCACACACTAGACAAATGATGGCTGAAGGAAAGACACCTTTTTTTGTCCTGTTCAATACAGCGTTCTGATAGTGGAAAAGCAGCATCTCAAAGTCTCATTTAAGGAGGCTATTCACTGGATTCCAAGCACCACTGCTCAGTGTAATTACACCATTATGCCCCTGCTCAACCATGTAAAAGGATCGTATTAGATGGGCCTTTATCAAAACAGCAAAAAGAGAAGAAAAAAAAACGAGGGAGGAGGCACAGCCCAGTGAGTCAGCGAGCTGTGCAGCCCCTAAACCACCTGGGACTTGCATCCCCGGTACAGACACGCCGGCGTGTCTCTGTAATAAACATCCCACAGTTACAACAGACGCATAACACGAAAGAAACTCGCATCTCCCTCGACAAACCAGGAGACCTGAAATGTCAGAAGTGGGTGTTGAGCTGCTGCCAAAGACCTTAACAGGCTTAGAAGAGGGATTTAAAAAGTACTTGCAGAAATTAAGGGGGAGGGGGGGGGATCGTGGTGGATAAATTAACCGAGGAATGCAGATTCATTAGTGCTAGCCTCAGAATGCATCCTCATTTAAAGGCGACACACCCCCCCAGTGAAAGCGCCAGAGTTAGTGAGGCAGTAACAAACCTTTTGACTGGCTCTGCATGCACAAGTGCAGCATCAGTCATGACTTTCATCCAAGACTCCATCTCTTTGGCTGTGTCTGTGCAAAAGTAGTACGTCCGCATGTTGGGATGTGTGGCCTGACAGGGCGAAGGACAGGAAGAGTGACACAGAGCAGGACACCTGAAAGACAAACAAAGAGAAACCCCAGTTTCAGCTCTGGTTTGAGAATCCCGGTTACTTGCCTATGTACAAACTTCCAATAAACAAGAGTTAAGTTTAACAACACAAACGCAAGTGCTCTTTTTCTCAACTAAAGGTGAGCAGCGAAACGTTTGGTGAAATACTAAATAAATCAAATCTACCAGTCACTTAAGCTTCATGCATACCATTGGATTTGGGCTGTAAATCTGCCGGTAATAATACTGTAAGGACTTACCATGAAGTGCACCGCATGGATAACACATTGTTCCAATGTTGCTCTGTTCCCTCGTGGCGAACAAACCGATATATTGTTGGAGCAAAAACAGACAGAGAGAGAAGAATTTTTCAGGGAACAACCTCAATATCCTGTTTACCAAAGTCTTAAAACAACAAGAAACACGCTGTATTCTTGCTAAATTCCCTCCCATTAGTCTTGAATAGTAAATAAATTTAAGTGACACGGTCATCTGGGCCACAATAGGAAACAGAAAACTAAGAAAGAAAAAGATGAAGTCAAAAAGTCATCCCATTCCAGGGCTTAATGAAGAGGTTGGGCTCTGTGCTCTGGTTTCCCTTGTTTCCCTGAACTCTCTCTTTAAGCTTGAATCTAAGTTGGAAAAGGAGTGGGCTGTGTGGTTGGAGAAACCTTGAACAGACTCCTGGACGTCTGTGTTTAGCTGTATTTGGCAGAATAACTTTGTTTTCTCTACGGGTTTATGAAGAATGTCTCAATTCTACACACAACTGTAGGACTGCATAAACTACGCCTTTTCCCTATAACTCGGGTCTCTGAAAATATCAAAGTGCTCTGGGACAGCCCCCTGGTAGCTAGTGAAGACATGTGACATGCTTTGGTCTGTCAGCATCACTTTGCATCAACTTTGAGTCAGTTAGCTGAAAAGTAACAGCAGCTAATATGTCACTTCAGATGTTTGTTTTCACTCTAAAAGCTCATTTGGGGCATTTAATTTTCCGTGCTATAATAGTTAAAAATCTTATAACGTTCTGGTTTTCAAAGTCTGAAAGGAATGAAAGCGCATACTGACCTTGAAAGCATACTTTCTATTAATATGATCCTCCACAGACAACATGGAGACGTGAAAGCTGGGTAAGAGGATGCTGCCGAGGATCCCCTCCTCTTTTTCATCTGCAGAGACAAAACAATGTATTTGGGGCTACGGTCTCATGTTAAATCCTTCAGAATGTTCGTCTCGGTTGTCACGTTGAACATCGGTCACTAAACATGAGGAATTAGGTAAGACTCAGGACAGTGAAAAACAAAAAACTGAAGTGTTAAGGGGAGCACAAACGGCAGAAAGCAGTGCTTCGGTTTGATATGCAGCTGGAACGCTCTAATCCCTCTTGAAGTTAACAAACAGGGTTCCACTTTGACAATGTAGCACTTTCCACAAGGGATTTGGAGAGACCCACATTTTAGGCTTACCCTGCTGGTTTAGAAAAGAACATTTAGACAAATGTCTGTTTTTGATCCCACATTTAAAAATGTGCTTTGCAGGTGATCGCAGTGTTCTTGTGGGTAAAGTCAAAATACAAATATTAACAAAAAGAGGTCCCTCATTAGATCGGGAATATTTAGGTAAAAAGTGTGAGATGGACTCTGGTCCGTCCAAGGCAGATAACAAATAGTACTTTGTGTGCTGAGACAAAGCTCCACTCTGAAGCCATTACAGACCCTATGGTCTGCACCTGGAGCCCACTGCTACAACTTTTAGTTATGAATACTTTCCTTTCTGTTTTCTGCTGAGCCTTTCACTGAGCAGTTCCCTTCATGTAAGCAGTATAGAAGGAGATCCTAGGGCACGGTAATAATCGGAAAACTACATCAGATGAGGTTGTATTTAGCTGAAGCAGAGCGGTTCATGACCTCTCTGCCTACTCTCTGCTGATGGACACGATTTCTCTGCATATCCATCTGGATAAAGCCAATGGCTCTGCTGCTGTCTGTGGCTTTTGTCAGCCAGTGGGCGGAAAGAGGGTGGCAGACACCAGGAATAACACAGACTACATGTCATCCTGATCAGCACAAATGATGGCAGTATCTGCATCAAAAGGAAGCCCTGAGATATGCAGCTTGTACTCCTCACATTTGCGTGTCTGTAGTTTCAGTCCAACAGCAGACCTACTCAACAGTTAGTCTCGGCGTATCTTGTTTTGGGGGTTTTTCAATATCTTTTAGAGCAGAAGAATTCAGAAACATTGTCTTGATGCTGCTGTGTCAATATGAGAGCTGTGTGAAAGAAGATGAACTGTAGTCGGTGGCAGCCCCATCAGCAGCAGGTAAAAAAAGAAATAATCGCACCAAACACAAGCGGTTTCCTGCTGTGAGGTAGCAGCACATGGGAGAGTTTAAAGGCAACGAGTGGAAAACTACAGTACATTGCATTAGAAATGAAAAAGAAAAACATCATTCAACATTTCTTTTAATGCCTTAGCATCACGGCGGACTTAAATCAGTTGAGATGTTTGTACAGCTTTGCTTAAGGAAAGCAATGACATCTCAAGTCATCTCACACTGCTGTAAAAGCCTGACAGGCATTAGCATACATCATAAAATAGCTTCTCAGAAGCACGACCTGGCACGTCGAGGATCAGGACGCTATTTGAATTATTAAACCAGAAACCTCTATAGTTATCATAGTTAATAGTAGAATACAGGCAAAACATGATGTTAGCTGACCAGACTTACCTCTGTAGTAAAAGAGGCACAGGTCGGAAAGGACAAACCACCTCTTCTTCCACAGCTTCATGCCTGTGCTGTCCTACAAAGCGCAGAGGAATGGAGCACATTTATTCCACAAACTGATGGGAGTCATTTTCTTGACAGAAACTAAATGTAATACACTCCACTCCTCTCACAAAACTGGAGTCCTTAAAAGTGGACATGAAACTCGAAAGATCGGGTTCTAGTTTTTAGAAGCCACAAAAAAAGCTGCAATAACCTATTTTTTTGTGGTTATATTTTGACATGAATTGTAATCTACTGACAACTTTTAACATACCAATCCTACTTCCATTTTTTAAACAAAATAGTATAACTGGGATTATAGAACAAAAGTAAAGTTTTTTGTTTTTAAAAACTGGAGAAGTCACCCGTTTGATGCTTCAAAATGTCTGACCTGGCCTCAGATACAGTATTTGCAGAAGGTGTAACAAAGTAAAAAGAAAAAAGGTGAAGAGTGGATAGTATAAGCTCTCACATTTTAATGGAAAACTTGAGCTGGGGCCTTCATCAGAGACAAAAGTAGAGGGTGGGAACCTCAGCAACTCTGTCATTATGGTCAAACAGCATCTGGGCTGCAGTTTACTTTAAATGGAAGCACTTCCACAAACCAGAATGTTTTACACATTAGTATCAAAAAGGTTTCACGGCACCAGATGCTGCTCTGTATGTTTGGAGAGGAGAAGATTTAAATGCCTGACCCCCATTCATTTACCAGCTTACCTAACATCAATGTCTTAAGAACTCATTTTGTAATGTGCTCATGAGCAGACTTTGTCAAAAGTTCTGTGAGATCTTGCTGGGCAAAGGCTTTCACCATCACATCAATCACAGTGGCATGTTGATTTCCCAGTGGATCAACTGCAGGGCTGCAGCTCTCACTCGGCCAGCCACTTCAATGGCTTCCAGGTTTCAATGAGGCAGGAAAATAAAAGTGCAAATCCAGCTTTTATTCAGAGTAGCAGATTTGTGAGTCTTTTGCTTGATCTACATCACCCTGATTAAGGTCTCTAAAGAAAAGCAGCTGGCAGCTGCAGCAAAGGACACAATCATGTGTTCACAGAACGGTGCCGGGAGCCCTACTGTCACAATTAACTGAGGCTCCTTGTTTGGGAAGCAAGAGAGTCCAGTCTGGCTGAGAACTGTCTCAAGCACGGTCTTTAGGATACCCAGGAGCTATGCATTTAAACCGTTTCTCTGAGCCACTCCGGAGTGGCTTTTTGCCATACACACTGACAGCGCTAACACATCCTTTAGGGGTTATCTTAACCAAATACATAAAAATTACAATACTTACAACATTACAATACCTATAAATGACATTTATGAAAAAGAGTTTAGAGTTCATATAAATGGTCTAATTCCACATTTAATGTCATCACTTTCCATTAATACTACATTGTGACCTGATTTCCTTTTCTCTTGATCACCTGTTTGTAAAGCCAGTTCCTCTTGATAACTGGGGCAGTGGGATTCCTCCTGATCGAGTTTGATCTTTTCCCAAAGTTGTGAATCTTCTTGGAGGGTCTTGAAGGCTGTAAAACAGCAAAAATGAGGAAATTAGGTAAAGTACTTTTTCTTAGGATTTGTAAAAGCCATTGAGCCACTAAAACATGATCCTGCTGCTTTGCCGTTATTTCCCAAACAGGGAAATCACAATCCCTCATTCACGTGTCACTCACTCTGCCTGCTGGGCTGTTGGTGTTTGCGGGGCAGTCCGAGCTGCCTGTGTAGTTGGAGGCCTCGCTCATGGTGCTTACAGGACGTTCCTTCTTCTCATTCGCTGGCACTTTGGAGGCAGATCTAAACGAAAGTCACAAAAGAATAGGAAGAGCATAAAAGGAGGTCAACAGACAGGGAGAACATATGTACCGCGTATGTCAGTATATTTATGTCCAATGGTCTCCATAAAATAAGGAAAACAGCAGGCTGCAGCCTTTATTATCCATTCTCCTATCGTTCCCCTGGAGTTGGAGTACCTTTATAATGGGTTTTCAAGATGGGCATTTGACTCAAGCCAATTATTCCCACAATGCTCGCGCAGATACTTTTCCAGTTCGGCAAAAGTTTTTCAGTAAAAGAAGAAACCGGATAGAAGCCAGAGGACGACATAGGTTACAGGACCTTGGGAAATTAGACGATGGAAATGTCCTACATTTTTCATGGGGGTGAGGGGGGTGCTGTGGTCCAGAGGGAAAACAGAGAGAACAACAAGATTGGAGCAAAAAAGCTGCAGCAGTGGGGAAAAAAACTAAAGAGACAGCCTGTCCTGTACAGCACCTTCACCATCCTAACATGTGACCATATGAAGCGCTGCACACTCAAAGTAACAGTTCAGACCCATTAAGATCCCTCCATCTTATCCTGATCTGTTAAACATGCAAACAAAACTACCAGTATATAGACCAACAAAACTTCAAGACATGCGCTTTAACCCAGACTCCATGCAGGCAGATTTTGGGTGAAGAAACACACAAATGGGACCACAATGAGCATCATTAGCTCGGTTCAAAACAGTAGGTAACACACAAATACTCCCATTCAGAAAAGAGACAGGTTTGATGCCGGGCCAAACCAAAGGCAATCACAGGCTAACTAAGCCTGGCATTTATTCAGGGGGAGGGTTAGAAGCTCAGGCATAGATGGATGAAGCAGCTGTGTGTCATTGTCATGAGTGTCAGATCTTATCAATGTCTGGTCAAAGGGAGGACAGTGTTTTTTCATTCCTGGCCGTGTAGGAGAATAAACATATCATGAGGCTCTGGACAGAGGAGGCACATCTGGGAACACAATCAGAGGAGCCAAAGGGGTGGACGAGTGGGTGACTAATGTTCCCTGGAGATGAAATGCTCATAATTTCCGATCGGCACTCAGGAAAAGGTGCCTGTGGAGTGGGATTTGCAGCTGCCGAAACTTGCCCCTTTCCCCATCTAATGAACTTGTTACAGTAAGTGAGCTCGCAATGTTATCAACACCTCAGTGACAGGTGAAATCCGAGCTTTACCATAATCAATGGTCTGTCCACTTGCCATAAAAAACATAATAGCGAGGGGGGTTGGAAAGAGTGAACGGCCTGTTATTCGGCACTGCCTCCATTTGACGCTCTGTGTAGCATCAGATTCTGTCTCGGCTGCAGATAATTAGTTTGGACCGAGTAATCAATAATCTGCAGCAGTGAAAAGGGAGAAAAGTGAGTGTATCAAAGTGGCAGTTCTAGTGCACTGAGCTGGTATATGTGGGCATCGCATCAGAATTAATACATCAAACAAAGCAGTAAAAATAGAGACATACTGCTGTCTGAACACAGACATAAAACATCATCACCCACCACAGAGGTCAGGAAGGCACACAACCAGCAAATCCTCTGCCTCTTATTTACTCTGGTAAATATTCAGCCTGACAAATGGTCAACAGGCTCAAATCCCAAGAGATTCACACTGATATAAAAGTGAGAAAAACAGAAAATGTTTATTCTGAGAAATACTTTCAGATGGCTTGGTTGGTTATTACAGGTAACTACGCACTTTGATTATCAGGTGAATTCATTCTCCACTGACCTACACAGCTCTTAAAAAGAAAAGCAGGTGGGTGCTTTTCAGAAGTTGTGCCTGGTATTCATTAAGCTAGCAGCCAAATAATTCATATAACAGCATCTCAGAGCTATCATGAAGCACTTTAGACAAAAAAGTGGTGTCAATAGACTCTTGATGTGAAATTAAAGTCTGACTCTTGGGCCTCTTTAGATTCATTTCTAAACTCCCCTTAAAAAGATGAGAAATATTCTCCCATCACAACAACTCTGCTCTAACAGCCTTCCCCAAAATATCTATCTTGCGTTATGCTACTACTCATATCTCCACGTGCCGTTTTGCAAGCCTGCCTGTTTTAAATTACAGAGTTCTGGCTGAGACCGATGCTGGTCCACTGACAGCACGAGCCCACAGCAGGAGTGATTGTAATGTAGGAATAGAGTAATAGTTGTAGCAGAATACCGAGAGCAAACCTCATCCCTGTGTTTACCACAGCTCAATGTCAACACAAAAGTCAAAAGAACCTTAAAAAGAGGCTGGGGAAAAAAATCCAGATGACGTCCTACCTTCAACAATGGCCTGTTTCACAAACAAGATGCTCAGTTACCAGCACTGCAGTCCGTCTTCAGCTCCATGCCGTGTTCTATGGTCCTTATCAATAGTTATGAACAGAAGTATTCAGAAACATTACTTTCATGTAGTGGTGCTTTAAATCCACACGGTGCAACCAGCCCAGGGGTTTTAAAGTGGGGGATCTTTGCATGGGCGTGAGGATGAACACTGTGTTTTGCTCCGTGCTGTGTGTGAAACAGGAGCAAGGATGGATCACACTGCAACTGGATCCAGGCGCATTGAGCACTCTGGAGGGAAACGGTGAACTGAGCGGCTGAGGGTGCATTTTAAACTGACCACACAGCATTTTTAAATGAGCGAGGGTGCTTTAAAGCATTTCTATGTGCTGCCAAACTGGGCCTTTATCTCTCCAATGAACAAAGAAAAATAAGAAGGAGGCAAGCATACAGAGCATGCAGATCATATATCCAAAGCAGCTAAATAAAGAGAAAGAAAATAAACCAAATTACAGCCTAAATTACTCTAATTTGACTCTGTCTTTAAAGGAAGTGCAACTGCTCTTTTTAGAGAGATAAAATAAAACTCTCCTAATGACTTAAATCGTATCTTAGACTTTCAATAAAACACAGCTCAGGAAATATGAGCAATGATTTCCCTGGGGCCAGGCGTTCTTAAAGGTTTGCGCAAACACGACACGTTTCAGACAGTACAGAACAAATTACAGGACACTGGAGTGCAAATACACCAACGCTCATCAGGCAAGACACCATTCCCAAACACACACAGCCTGTTAGTGTGCAACTATCACAGCAGACGTGTTTGAGTGTTGTACAGAAAAAACGAATGTGCAGAACACACAGCTATCCATTTCAACCCAAAAGCTAATTACCTGCTAAGCGCTGGATGACACACTTTTCCACATTTTACACTACAAGACAGGAGAAAAACAAACTTGTTGGAGATGCAGTGCAAATATTGCTGCAAGTGACAGATTTAGACGAACAGCTCTGGACAGATGCATTAGGAAAAATCAATTTGAAACAATCTAATGAAGATCAGCATTTCCAGTGCATGCTGTTTTCCATCACAGCGACCTCATTTAGCTATTTCCTAAGTTTTTACATTTTTGCTATACTGTCCCCACAAACTGCACCGCATACATTACAGGGCTAAGTTTGGGTAAAAAGGTTTAGAATACAAATGCAGCCTGCTAACATGTTGGTAAGGAGCACTAAAGATAGGCACTGACACTTGCAGCGGTGACAACAAAATGCCGAGGCTGGCATTCAGGTCACGCGTCTCCCAACGACCTGAGCAGTAACTCGCACGTCTCATCATAAAAGAGTGCACGCACGGTGACACTTCTGTATGTGCAGCCTTTGGATGTCCTATGAACATCACATGTTGGGGAGGATAAATGCACAGCTACTGTGTCTGTCCTGATGGCCAAAGGATTTTTCAGGGTTGCACCTAAACCCCTGTGTCCCAGTTTGTCCTGATCATAGCAGCTAACCCACACGAGCCGGTCCATCTACACTAGAGGGAACATGCCTGTTCCTTTCAGTGTTGGCACCACGGAGCAGGCCTCGTCCCGCTTCACATGTTCCCATCTGAGGCTGCGTACATGTGGGGTGCAGATCACAGAAGGTGGCAGACATGTCTGCAACGCTTCACAAATCCATTCACTCAAAAGTAATAATCTTAGCTGGCTTGATCCAAGCCTCTCCTACTTCCTTTACCGTGCAACAGTTCCATACGCCGCATTAATTACACTATTTCTGTCTTAGGGTGGGCTGTGTTAAAGTCCTTTATAAAGTAAGACTAAAGGCTCCAACACAATACCGAATGGAGGCAAAGATTTGTGTTTTTGAAGCATTTAAAGTGAAGAGCAGATTAAGCAGAGATTTTCAGCCAGGCCTCCTTATCCCTGTGGCAGCTTAAATCCTTCTTTGCCTTCCATTGCTCAGTCAGGCTGAAGATTTTCCCCTTTATCATTTTTTTCTTTTTCTTTTTTTTTGCTGCTAGAACACAGCCAATGTTGGCTGAACCACTCCACAGGAAACGTAAAATAGCTACAAGTTAAGTCGCAGGTTTATCAATTAGCTCTCACATAGTTAAAGTTGACCTCTAACACATCTGATTTGCAACCCATCTGCAGATTATCTAGTAAATAAAATAATAAATTAGGAACTAGGAATCATCTTGCACTGGCATGTTGTGCGAAAAACAGCAGCAATGTGAGAGCAACTCGGGGAGGGGAGGAATGTGTCAGGACAGTGTGGTGTGACAGATCTGATACAGGAGGCCTCTACCAAGCCATTGTCTGACAACTGAATCTCTTCCGAAGAGGAGGAAAATCCCGTCATAAATTAACATGCTTTTAGGGGTTTTGATTTCTAGATGATGAACACTGACGTAATTAACCTTCCATTAGTTGGCCACATGGGAGTGTTTCCATGTCAGAGCGTTTTTTTTTTTTATTTCAACCTTTGTTACTAAAGTTAGTAAGTGTTATGGGATGTGATGGCATGTAACTGTTCAACACTGCTCTAGATCAACTACCGCAGAGACTTGCGAGGGAATTGAGAAACTGAGCAGGGCTGATACATGTTGCACAACGTTAAGCTAAGAAGCTGGAGTGAGCCATGAAAGTTGACGTGAATGTCACAGTGTGGGCTGTGATGCAAACGGCTTAGCATGCGTTTGGTTTGCATGCCTAAGGGACGTTCCACAGAAGTGAGTTTTAAGAGGAACTTTGGGAGACGAAGCTGCAGATTAAAATCAGCCTGCGTCTCTCGGCTGGTTGACATTGTCTGCACCTCAGTGGGAGGAACCCGTGGGTAGGGTTAAAGAGTTACAGGTGGATAAATCTGCAAACACATGAACTAATATCCTAAAGTGGACATGCACTAAGTTTAGTCTGACATATTTATAGTTGTTCTGGGTGAAGTTAAAGAGCAGGATGGTTGGAATCCTGGGGCAGCTATACGGGCAGATGCGTGGAAGACGAAGGACACAAACCTGACTGTTGAAACACGTTTAAAAAGTGAAAAGCCTGCAAACTGCTTTTCAGGCCAGAGAGTGAATCACCGTTCTTTCTGTCTGATGTATAAAACGGACAACATTTTTCTTAATCTCTGTCCTTGGTATTGAGATGAATAATCCTACCTTGGCACTTGCTGAGAACAGCAGCCTGGTTATGCAACAGATCTCAAAAATCTCTCTGATAATACGAGAGTCACAAGAAGAATGTTTATAAAAGTTAGCTTTCAATACAGAAGTTGAATTCCTGCTTCCAAGATTTTTGATCATGGAGACAGTTAACAAAGGACGCATTGAATAGGGTAGAATCTGAAATGAAAGGGCAGGACGGGAAAAAAAAGAGAGGATGGTGAGGCAACAGCTAACGCAATGTGGCCTACACGTTTTAGCTAAATACTGTAGAACTAAAAATGCCATCCAGTGGCATTCTAATGGCAAAAACAAGAGACTTACTGTTCGTTGATGACAAAGATGCAGTTGTCTTGTGATGGTAAGCCTGAGACAGGATGTTTGCAGGTCACCTTCCGTTCATTGTGGCTGCAAGGACACAAAAACAGAAATGGTGGATATTTTAATCATTGATATGTGAAAAAAAAACAAATCGCCAAATGTTGATCTATGTTTTTGGTTGTTGTTAGCAAGGTACAGAAATTGAATTACAAAGAAGTTGAGATAAAGACGGAATTTGGATGTCTTTAAGAAGCTCCAATAATTAGAACTCAGCACTAACAAAAACCATGAAAACAGGTCTGACCTGGCCTACACAGCGTGAGCTTGACACCCGAACAAGCTCTAAAGCTCAGAGGGGGAAAAAAAATGTCTTTCCTAGGAAAAAGAACAGCCTAATTAACGACTGTCAGAAAAGTTGGAGTATGGCATGGGTCCACTCAGACAAAAGCATTAAAAAGCTACAGACTACGCATAAGAAAAATCCCGTCCCTTTTTAACGAGAGCATCTCAGTTTCGGCTTTAATAAGATTGAGTTCCATGAAGAAATAAAATAAAAAAACAAAGAGCGGTTTAAATGCAGATGAGTGCATGAACTTCAAATTAGTTACAGCCTCATTTAAACAAATGAGTCTCCAGGCTCCGGCAGACTTTTGTGCCACCCTACACTCTGCCTCTAATGACAGAGGTGCAGAAGATGCTACCCGCCCATCCTGCTGGCCAATTACGGCAGCCCACAGTCACTTCCACCCTGACATAATTAGAACACCAGGACACAGGCCTCACAGTCTTTGAAACGGAGGAATGAATAGCAGTTTTCCAGAAAAACAGAGGCCAGCCAGTGTGCATGTGGACGGCCATGGGGAGCAGGAAGCTCAGTTTACTTTCCAGTAAGAATTAGGAACTGTACCGGTGAAAAGGTAACTCAACGGTAAGTCCATCAAACCGCCAGTAAGGTGAAGCAACGGCAGGTTCAGGAGCTGTTGAGTGAGTGGGCACAACACACGAATAAAGTACACAGACAAACCCAGATGAAGCAGGACAGACGTCACGCAAAAAGGACGAATGCCTTCTTCAGAACTGCTGCCTTCACATGCTGAACAGTTAGTCTCTGTTTCAAAGATAAACAGAGCTACATCCCAAAAATAACACTTTTTAAACACGGGGTGCTCGTGTACTGAAAAGAGCAAATACAAAGTATGAAATGGGGGTTTTAGTTTCAGTTTAGCCTGGAGAGCAACAGTCTCCGCAGCTCTGGCCTATAATTACTGGAGGCTCTGTTGGCAGCGGAGCACACAGTGTGGTCTTGGGACAGACCAACGGCACCATATTTCTCTGGTATCCTTCACACATGCTGATACTACTCCACACAGGGGCTGGCCCCAGACTGAGGAGAAAACGCCACTTCTGGATATACATTTGTGTACACAACCGTGGAATGTGATTTAGAACTTTATATGCCTGCTTTTTACAATACCAAGAAACAAGCCCCATCAAAAGTTTGGAAAATCTCTAAGTTTTGACTCCTTGGCAAATACTGGCTTCATACATCTGCATTCGGTTAATGTGGTGTCTTAGCCAAAAAGAAAAAAAAGCTTCAAATAAAGCAGTAGATTTAGCTAATCTTTCATGTTTAAAGAATAAATCTGTACAGGATTAATATCTTTTTTTTTTTCTCTGAACACATTTATGTGTACAGTATACGCAGAGGGGTTTCTTTGGGATACTCCGATAAGAGGAATCCCTATAGTGCAACACAAACAGAAAAAAAGGCCAATCAAGCAAAAGTCTTCTATCAATATTCAACCACAGTGAAAAAAGAACCGTGTTTCCTGAAAAGCGGGCAGCACTGCCACGCTGACTGTGAATCATCCCTCTGTCTAAAAGTCTTTTCAGTTTTCCTCTCTTTCCGATGGTAGTTTCGGCTTTTCATTCCATCCAGTGAGTTTGTACTCTAAATACACAAACTCACCGAGGCCACTCCTTATTCAAAGAAAAATATGGCAAAGTAAAACATAAAAATCATCCATCTGCACTAAGGAACCCAAACATTTTCCTCCGCGGCAGAAAGGCCAACCCCAGGAACATTGGCTGCTCCTGTTCAGTCCACCTCCAGAAAGCACTCCAGTGCGATCATCATGTTGCTGCCTTTTGTTATTGGAGCTCTCAGACACGAGAAACCCCCTATTTCCAGAGAATGGTGCCAGGCCGGTTCCCAGTGCTGCACATGTGGCTCAGCTATATTCCACCAATTCAGCTCTCAGAGTGGCGTTATTCTCCCTCACTGTGTCAAACGCCCATGACCAACAGAAGCCAAAGCCCTCCAGCTGGGCGTCCAAGGTAAAGTAAGAAAAAGCAGATGTGCCTGAACTGTCTAAATTACACGGCACAGGTCTGCACTGACATCAACACCTTGGGAAAAAAGCTCCATCTGAGACAGAGGGCTTACGCTCAAAGTAAGCATGTAAAGTGTTCGACTAGACAGAATGGTGTAGGCAGCTAAAGGCTTATCCACACACAGGGACAGAATCATGAGCAGAAATAAAGGCTACCGGTACATCTCCATTAGCAATACCTAATGAAAAAGGCAGCTCATTATATTTTCAGATGTTATCAATGTGTGGAAATTTAGACAAATATAACAATAGTACTTACTTGATAAATACATTATGATAATGGCAGTTAAAAGTGAATCCTAATTCAAGACATCAGTACTTGCCATCCTTAAATGAAAACCTCTGACATGGTTAAAATGTCCCCTTCAAAATGAACCTGGCTGCGGCTCCTAAATCATTGTTACAAAAACTTTGCACAGGCCTGCCAACTGACAAATGTGTAAGGTCAGTGACCCAATAGTATACCTTTATGGACGGAAGCAATTTGAGAGGACTCTAAACATTCCCAACACAATCCATGTGACAAGGAAGGACAACGAGTTCTCCAACCAGTGTGGAAACATGAGGACTTTTTGGAAACAAGATGGATGTGGCTAATGCCGGACAAAAACAGGCTGAGCTACCACCTACATTTAAAAAAAAAAAGTCTAATTATGCATTTTCCTGTGAAAAATTGCTTCAGATATGTTATCTTTAGCTAAAGCAGAGTGGAGTATACTCCTAACTCTAATTCACTGTCTCTAAATGGCAGCAAGAGCTAATTAAAAACATGGAAGAGCTGGGCTGGGCTGCTTTTCCTATCTTACACAACATTAGACAACCATGAAAAGGCTCCATAAAATATGTCATCGATGATAATGAAAGCAATCAACCAAGCAACAGGATCAGCTCGTGGGGCCGACTCAACATTTACTCTCCCTCTGAGTAACATTTGCCTTTCAAAGCACCATTTCCAGCTAATCTTGGGTTACAGCGAGGTTTAAAATAGCCCCATATGCTCTGGAGGATGTGGTCTGTGGTCAACTCCAGTCCAGATTAAGTTTGCATAAAATAACAGTGCTATCCAATAGGAAAGGAATATGGTACCGTTTTTGCTTGGACATGGAGTAAAAACATTGTTTCTTGTTTAGGTTTTGAGCTTCCATGCATCTTTCCGTGGTGGCGGCTTGTGGGGTGGGTGTGGCTTAAATGCACTTGGAGTTTCTTTCCTGTTGACCTCAGATACATACGGTGGAAGCTTGGCGTGGGTGTCAGAGCATGTCCACCTTGCAGAGTGGAGTGGGTTGGGCAGTTTTCTAGCCTTGTCCACAATAATTAGCAGTGAGCTGCGGTAATAAAGAGCTTAAGGTCTGGGGGTCACCCAGCACTCCACAGGCTAAGCTTTTATTACTCGGAGTGGGTCTTTGATCCCTCGCACCCCTTCAACTGAAGTGTAACCACAATAAACTAAGAGGCTCCGAGCAGGATCCATACATTAGGCAGAAGGTGAAAGAGCTCTGTCCACAGGCCAGACAGAAACTGGGCAAAACAAAAAATAAACAAACTATTTGTGCTAATACTATTTCAAAAATGTTTCCTTGTCAAAGCTAAATTGCTTTTAAAAAATGTAAGGCGTTCAAACAACATCATGGAAAAACCCCAAAAGCCAAGTCCATAAACTTTAAAGGGAGAAATGTCTTGTTGATGTTTATCATTTAAATCCCATTACACAGAAGGAACTTGGACATTTTCTTTCTACAATAAGTCCAGATTCAGGCTTCAGTAATCAGGTAAGAACTACTAACGGGCATGAAAGAGCAGGTCTGCGCTGGAGCTCCTCAATACCACAGACATGGACTGCTGGTATGAATAGCTTTCCTCACAAAGGCAGAGCTGAATAAGCAGGATAGGCAGTTTATGAGAGGGCATGTGGGGGGCACCACAAGAAAAGACAAAAAGAGACCTAGTGGGGGCTTAGCTGTCCCCAAGAGGCCATGTGACACAAAGCAATGTGCTGTCACTGCGTGGGATGCTTGCAAAATATATTTACTGTAATATCCCAGAAACGCATATTTATTGGCGTGTTGTTTATTTAAATAGTATTTACCATTTTTTATAAAAAGTAGCTTAAATCAAGTGTCCTTTGGGAGAAAATCCAGTGGAGGTAAACATTAGTATCAGCTGGGACACACAAATGTAGCCAAACCATCCAATATTCATTACCATTTAATCCTATTCACGGTCCAAGAGAAACGTCTATATAATAAAGGGTAATCTAAGACAGTCTGTCCCTATTAGCTTCTCTGGATTATCGACAGTTAAATCCCACAACAACTAAAAAATGTGGCACCATATCTGGAGGAAGTGTGGAAAACCGGGCCACAAAAGCTTCAGCTGCAAGCCTGGTGAGATTTGACTTTCACCGTAGGCCTTTACATTTAACCAGAGCATACAGCTGCTCGTTCAGGCTTCAAATCTGATTTGTTTTTTTTCTAATAATTAAATTAGCATCCCCTCAAAGCAGCTGGGGCTCATAGTGGGTCAAGGTGACACAGCTAGCTGATCTGGAAACTCAAGAAGATTCGAGATACAGGGAGAAGAAAAATAAAAAAGCAGTCCTTACTAATGTTTTAAAGCAGGACAATATCGAACCAGTTCTATGAAATTAAAGTATTTTCTCATTTTGAAATATCAGGGGGGGGGGCTTTTGTCACATATCCTCATAACAAACTATAAGCATCGATAATAATTCAGTGTAAAGATATTTCAAACCCGACCTTAGGAGCATCAGAACTCTCAGCTAACATTACCAGTACTGGTTTTTGGTACATTTATATTCACAGAAATATTAACTTAATTAGGACCTTAAACTGAATTTAAGATTAAGCCTTAAGTTGTTTACTATGTAAACAAAAAGAAAAACTGAACAGAAAATTATTTTGATAAAAATGAAGTCAAAAGCTGGACATTGCTTTGAATGTAAACACAGTCATTGTAGTGTCTATGCCTCTGCTCCACCACACGCACCAGTTCAAAGGAACATTTGTGCAAAATTCTCAAGACAACTTTGAAGCTCTGCGTGTGCTTCTCAGAGCAGCTCGAGCAGATATGTGAATTGGGCTGGACTGTGACCTCTTTCTGGCCAAAGGCCAGTGGCAAACATTCTCCATCAGACTAAAGGGATTGTTCCTCAGCAGTCTATAAATGAGCCAGAGATTGACTTCCCAACCTTACAGTAGCCACAAAAGTTTCCATCTCCTCCATCACTGTGTGTACAACTCTCCTTGTTAACTTCTCTATGTTCAATTTCAAGCTTCATTAAAGCCTACTCCAGGCTTGCATACAAAACAGCTCCATAAAAAAACAACTGCAATTTTCTCGCGCATAAATTATATCTATATCACAGCTGAAATCGCACTTTAATTCTTTTATGGGCAAACCAAAAATATGTAACTGGACTACTGACAATTAAAATAGCCTTTTTTCTTGACCTTAGTTTTGTTTATAGCCTTCAGTCCTCCAAGTAAGGAGAAGTAAGAATTGCTTTCAGGTGACGGTTCCTCCTGCCCCCTCTTCCTCAACCTCTGGGTAAATTTAAAAGATGATATTTTTTAATCAGGCAGAACTGAGAACACAGTCCTTACAGTAAAAACAACAACATCTTAGTTCCTGTAAATGTATTATGTTGATTGGCTGAATGCCAGATACCCCTTAATGCTTTCCACACTGATCTTATCCAGTAAACAGTTAAATTACTAAATGTTTTGAAAAACAAATGAACAGGTCGTCTAGATGATTCCAGATGGGTGTGACACCCAGACTCACAGATGATACTGAGGAAAAAAAAGGAAAACATACAGCTGCAAGAAATGCTGCAAACAGGTCCAGCTGTTTACTAGTTTATTTCATTCCAGAAATTCTGAGGAAAAAAAACAAGATTGACACTAAGTTGTGGATGATGGTATCTGAGCAGTGATGAGGGGGCATCGTCTGCATAAGAGCAGGAGAAACATTTCAGTCGTAACTTAACTGACTGGTTTAAAAGAAAAGCTTTTAAAGTTCTGAGAGGAATACAGTACGGGATCTGATGTAAATGAGTAAAATTGACTCATGAGAGACAAACAACTGGGCTTCAGTACAGCATGCAGTGCTGTTTCAATAACAGCAAACAGAAGACCAATTCTGTGTTTATTGCTAGTGATGGAAATCAAATTTCTCTCACTCAGAAATGAGCCACACCAGATGTGCTTCGACATCAGCTACCATGATCATCGGAAAGAGCCACACAAAAAAACAATTAAAAAAAACAGACAGAAAGTCTTAGTATTGATCGAGTACAATTTCTAGGATTGTGTGTAATCCTGGAAATGTATGAAGCCAACTTGAATTAATCAAAACAGAGTCAAGTGTTTATTATTATCATTATAAACAAAACGTAAGAAAATGAATCTGTTTGGATGCAGTTTCACTTGGGAATGCAGGCTGACCAGCTGCAAATAGAGGAGGCTTAAGAATAGATAAAGTGTAAAGCTTTACCATGTGTGATCACATGTAATGCAGCATTAACGACAACCCCCCCAACCTCCGAGGCAATTGCTTCTTTCACAAAATACAATAAAGCTGTTTGTGCACAGAGCACCGCAGAGAACAAAACCCTGAGCAGGAGCCTGGACGGAGCTGATAAAACCTGCTATGCAGTGAGCAATCGCAGGGCTGCATCTCAGCAGCCTTTTGCTAGCACCCATCACCACACACAGTCCACAGTACAGCCCGGTCCCCATCAGCGCCGTCCTACTGTACTCACAGACAACGACTCCCACGAATATCCAGCCAGTCCAGGCAAAAAAGGACAAAAAAGATTTTCTTTGGAGAAAAAAAAAACACGCTGAGAGAGCAGAAATGTATCCAGAAGTGAGCGTGTGGAGTTTGTTGCTGAGCGGTGAAGTGCGCTCGCGCCTGCTGCTGCTGCTGCGGCTGCTCGCGGGGCAGAGGAGCTCGCGCGGACTGCTCGCTGCTGTGCCGCGTGCGCCTGTAGTAGAGCGGCTGAAATCCGAGAGGCGATGACGTCACAGGCCGGATGTAAAGGAAGCGGAGCGGTCAGTGGCGCCGCTCTCCGCCACGGCCGCCGAGAAAAGCCGTCCAGCGAGGAGTCCGCCGGGCTCTGGACGGAGATACTGACTGTGTGTCTGTTCGGTTCCACGGCTCAGCTCTTCCTTGTTTATATGGGGGTATATTTACTAAGACGCACTTATGGGTGTTCCTCTATGACTTACGAATGCTATTTCAGGCGTTTTACTTCCTTAAAAATTAATGTGGGCAAGTGCATGTCCCTGCAGCTAATTCCTCAGCAAGTCCTGACAGGGGGTCTGCTGAAAAACGAGCCCTGGCTGGCTGTGCCAGACCCGAAGAAGCCTATTTCTGATGAACTTCTGCTGAATTTGTTGACAACACTGTGGCAGCAGCCGAGGACGCCCGATTACTGCGTTTCAGATCTGGTTTCCAGTTGTGTCCGGCCCAGTTACAGGCAGCTCGGCGGGGCTTGTTCTTTTCAATAGGACGAAGTGAGAGAAAGAACTGAATACCAAGTGGAGTCAGCAGGGAGCCTGCGGCTATTGAGGACATGAAAGCACAGACAATGACCTCAACCCCAACCAAGAAGCCAAACAGCTCCTCCACTCTTCAACCTGCTGAGTGCAGTCAGTGGTGCAGGAGGGCACTGAGAGACAGTCAATGCCCTCTTGGCAGCTTCTTTTCTATCCCAGTTGCCTCCGCTTTATGATACTAGGACACTTTCTCAGGAAGCTGCAGCAGCCACCTCAGCAGAAACTCCCAAACAATACCAAATACAGCTTTTTTATGAGATGAAAACAAAGGAAATGCCCATTAAACATAAGAATTGTAACATCATCAGTAATTTGTGGTCTACACTGACCACTTCTCCTACATAAATAATGCATCAGGCTTCCATTACAAGAAGGGGAGGGGGCTGCATGAAAACAGAATCCTTTAACTATTCTTGGGCCTCCAGGGAGGTCTTGCCATGTTTTGGCTCGGAGCCGGGGGACATGGCCACCACCTGGGGCACAAAAAGGACTCTTCACCCCAAGAAAAGAGGCAGAGGAGAGACAGTATCTGGTAGATAGGCAACATGATATTTAATGACCCACTTCACAGTCGATGAATCCTTAATGAATAAGGAGCTTGTGCCGATAACAAAGAAAAAGGTGTCCGAGGGGAAAGTCAAAGCAAGCTGTTTGGCCATCTGTGTGTCATGGAAGACAGCAGGCTTTTTTTAACCCATGATAAATGAATCAGTGTTTCCTGTCACTGCCTACACTTCTAAAGAACCGGCTCCCAAACCCTTCCAGTTCTCACAAAAAACTGTGGTCTCATGCCACAGAGGACTAGGTCACAATTCCGACACAACCAGAACAACCACAACTTTTGAGGGCCTTTTAAAAATAATTTCTTACAAAGAGTTCCTCACTGCCCACTCACTGTAAGGCAGGAAATGGAAGTGAAAGGCTTTAGAAGCTGAAACAAACCTTTTTCTTTAGGTAATTAATGTAAAGGTGAGAGGTATGTGTAGGGATTCTCCTTTAAATTTAAATGTAAATGTCCCCATCACACCCACCCAGTGTGACTCACTTTCTCAAGGCATATCTTTCCATGCCTGGTTTGAAGGGGGGAAAAACCTGCTGTACATTCAGTTGCTTTAAGTTATTTTTGTTTTAGTGCCTCATGGCTTAAAATGTTTTCTGGAAAATCCACAAACACTCCAATTGATTTAGATCCAGTATTTGCAGTGATTAAAAATGCATGCGCCCTGTGATGGAGTGGCGACCAGGGTGTAGCCCCGCCCCTCACCCGGTTCCTCTTTTTAAAAAAAGGAAAGGGAGGCAGGCTCTGACTGACTTCCCACTTCTCAGTGGGAAAAAAAGAGGCATATTTTTTGTTTCAGGTCGAGTGGGTGTCCTCACTACTGTTCCAAGAATCTGTTTAAGTGGGGGGTGGGGGGGGTGGGTGGCTGTTACGGCCAAACGAAGGTCAAACAAAGTCTGTTTCCTCTCAATCCAAAACTTGAACACACTTCATTTTATGGCAGAGCACCATCAGGCCTGATGACAGTGTAAGCATAACCTGGCGGACATGCTCAGATCTGTTGACGTTATCACTGCGGAGTGGCTTGGCTCCATCACTCCTGTAGGGAACCTTATCAACTAACAATGTAGAGTCTGTGATGCTGGATACTCAGGTTGAGAACAATAGCAAAGCCTGTGGAAAAAGACCGCAGTGCAGGACAACAAATCCCAACATGTCCTCATGTCGGGGTTTGTTGTCGAGGAATGGCTCAACTTTGGTTCCATCAGACAACAGTAGCTTTGAACAACTAATCCATCACCCTGTTCAAACCTTAGACTATCTTTGAAGAATCAAAGACTGCAGAGTTCTATAAGAGCCACTGCCAGCCTCGGCTGCCTTTGATTAGAAATTAGGCAAATCACACTGTAAGAGAGTTTTAGCTTGATCTTATTTGAAATAAATAATGACATTCTGACATTTAGTGGAAGTGATGATTGTGTCAAAAATGTGTTAAATACACCAGAGCTTGTATGTTAAAGGAAAGTTATATTTGTTCAAATACATTGAAACATTCTATGACCAGTATTACTCCATTCAGCTCTTTTCCTCCTACATCCAGCTATCTTACCTGAATTGCATAACACTCAAGAGTCTATAATCAGATGTCATGTGCAGTGCAGTAAAGTGTACCTCCAGGCACAGAGGAGGGGAAAAAAGGATGACGCTGAAAAGTAAAAAGGCAGGAAAAAAAGCATCAAACTTTTCTAATTATTAATGAGAAATAGAGTGTTTCTGTTCAGCTGGAGCGCTACATGCTTCTTCTGGTCTTGAGCTGACAGGTGCCAAGGAGAAGCTTTCAGACTCATTAACCGCCTACTCAGAGTCAGGCAGAGACAGGAAGTGCCAAGTGTTCACATGTTTATCCACTCTCAGAGGAGCCTTTTCTACCTGCCCACTCGCTCTTGTCTCTGGCTCTTTCCTCTTCCACCTACACTCCCACGCTCTCCACTTTGTCACCGAGGTGCGGATTTGTACCTGCTGGCGTTTTTCGCACAGCTGCGTGTGCTCTGGCTGCGGGTTACAGCAGTCTGAGGTTGATGGCGCAGCAAAACAACCAGAATTGGACCATTTGTTTGCACTCGGTGGGCGCCAACGTTCCTACTGAGTGATGGTGAAAAATTACAGCATACATAAACAGTATCATTCCCGGCTCGTCCTCAGGAAGCCAGTGAGGAGATGGGCTGTGATGGCCACCCTTTGAGTACCGGTGTGTGAGATCTGGGCTGCCTTATGCTCCTGTAATTAGATGAGTGTGTCAAATGGAGCCGGGGAAAAACAGCTTTTATCTGCCTGAGCAGTCAGACTTGGGTACGTAAGACCCAGAATGAGTAAGTCAATGATGTCAGTGGGGAAGAAACATCTAACAGGTAGGTAAACAATGACCCAACGAGAGGATTGGAATTGGTTAGGAGAATTCATCTTTACTGGTTAATTGATAACTAGTTAAAAAGAACTTCCTGGCTATCTGGGATTACCGCTGGAAGGGAAACACCAGCAGGGCTGATACTGTCCAATCTATTGGCAGAGATCATAACAACAGCATAACCTCTGGATCTGTTTCTGCTTTGTGATGGAATCAGGCTTAATGGGAATGATGAAATCCCACCACATGACAAGTTTAATCATGCACCCTCACTGCACGGGTGAAATAACAGACCTGAGAGCTTTTTTTTTCTTTTATTCTCCTCATTCAGCCAAAACAACTGCAGTGTACTTGATGCCAAAAGAAACGATCATCCAGAATGAAGAATGAGACAACACAGGGACTGAAAATAAAAACACAGCGAACCTTCCGTATTTCAAGTTAATTGGCCTTGGTGACATCTTGGAGGGGTCGGCATGAAAACCGAGGGGTTGGACAGGTCCGCTTCACTGCGCAGACGGTTTTGTGAGCATTGGCAGCATCAAGAGTCACAAATTCCAAAGGCTGCAAGTCAAAACACCAGCAGCGATGCGTTGTAGCATGAGGCCTCTCTCAACCCAGCCCCCACCTCTCCTGCACCACCACACCAAGTAGTGACTGTTAGCTGACCAAGCTATACTCTCATTCCCTTTTCAAGGCTAATGGCGTCTAAAAATAAGCAAATGCTTTACATCTATCATCACATAAACAGACAGCCTCAGCCTGTCAGTTTAGCTTTACAACTCAGCACATGGGTAATTGTTTGGATATAAATAATTAATCAGATGGAGCGCAGCATCTGTCAGTTAGGCTTCTGGTTTTCATAATGAGACACATGTGTTACAGTAGGTGTCCGGGGAATAAATAAATTATACAGTGGGGTCAGAAGGCCAGACAACGCATTTTAGGAAATGACAAAGGAATTACGTCAGTGAAAGTTAGATTGTACAACAGCAAATCTTTTACTAATAGTTGCAGTGGCTCGTGCTTTTTGGATTTGATTTTCTTATCAGACCCTCGCTCAAGTAAGCCAACTTGCAGCCATCGATCACCAGCTGAAAACATGACAATACTACAAGATTCAAGGAAAACAGGGCTTGAAAATGCTCTGACAGAGGGTAAACTTCCAGATTGGTATTCCAAGCAAAGAGGCGTTCTCTCAGCAGCAAATCATGGCTAGACGGGGGGTTACTAAGGGGACATTGGATGGCTCTTAAACACTTTGTGGAAAGTGGATGAGTGGTATTTAAAGCACAATCAGGCAGAGCAATAGCCAGCACTCTTTGTCAGGGGATCAAAACATTGAGCTGGCCATTTAAATCACAGAGAGAGATACATGGAGAGAATGTTAAACAACACAGTCTTGCAGTCAGCAAAAGCCCAGCCAAAAGAAGACAGTATAGTAGCGGTCCCTGAAAACAAACAAATACTGAGTAGACCAGATAGAGAATACCATTACAGGTTAATCTAGGTATCAAAATATAGCTGAAATTAGTGG